TCGGCAAGCCTGGCCTGACGCATGCGACAATCCAGATCGATTACACATACCTCGGCGTTCCTCGTGACGAGGTAACAGAGCAGTTTTATACGCGACAGGTCTCTGTGCCGCTGACTGTCACGGTTAACGCAAGCGTTGAGCTGGCAAGACTGGACGCGATACCCATGCACGGCTTGATCCCACAGCCGCTGTGGGAGCGCTTGGGGGGCACGAAGCCAACGAAGCCGGATGAATACTGCTTACTCTCTGTGGACCTGAGAAATGCGTGGCCCACGCAGATGGCAGTCCATGTTGAGAACGATGATGGCATGGCTGTTGAGGAAGGCATTCTGCCGGGTAAAACGAGCCGAATCATCATGCCCGTGAAGCGAGTGTACTTGGAAGACCCGTACGCGCCTATCCCCAGCCTGAACCCCACAAAGAACAGGCAGTTTGTGGTGAGCACCAGCAAAATCACACCCGAGATGGAGCGCGCCAACAGAGAGGCGTTTTGGTACAGAGAGAGGCTCCTCGACTCTCTCAAGGCGACCTGGAGAACAACGGCAGTGCCGAAGCGAAGTGGCACTATCGAGCTCCGCAATATCCGCCTGACTACCCGCATCATCGACATTGTCAAGGTTGGCGAGATTGGTATCGATGTCACCGTGGAGCGGCCGGGAGAGGCCGAGGGCAACAGCATCAGCACGGCGTTTGTCGACGAGTTTATACAGGTGCGGACGCGAGTCACGAATAGAACCAGCCAACCAATCAAGCCCCTGGTGAGGCTCCTGCCGGCGCTGTGTCATCGCTCCGTCAACATTGCGCTCGACTATACGCGCAAGTTTGTGTGGAACGGTACGCTACAGCAGCTTCTGCCAGAGCTCCCGGGCGGCGGCAGCACAGACTTTGTCATTGGCGTAACGGCGCTTTGCAGGGGAGAGTTTGAGCTCACGGCGTCCGTGGAGGAAGTCCTGGTCTTGGAGGAGAACGAGAAGGGCGACGGCGACGAGCCGCTCCAGGGGCGCCCGCGGTCAGACACCCAGACGAGAGAGGACAAGGCGATTGGTGCAAAGGAGCGGAGGATGTGGCATTCACGACGCCCATGTATATTGAGGGTGAAGGATGATGAATGAACTTAGAGCCCCCCCTATTTTTTGATGACGAGAACGTTGCTTTTCGGCCTCGGAGGTCACGGCGGCAAATAGCGACTGCGACTGCGATGAAGACATTCTGCTGCATATATCTCTACAGATAATAGACGGCCTTTTTTGTTTTTTTTTATCTTGAGGATTATTGGTATTGTATGCTAGGAAGGCGGAGTCATACTTGTCTTGTGTACGTGTATCATCAGATGACCGTTTCAAGTTTCTTTGATGTAATAGTATGGGTGGCCAGCGTCTATCTGCAAAGCATCAACTTGCATACAGCATTCTTGCAGTGATGGGCGTCATCTTGCTCTACTCCGGCTCTGGCCCTGGAAGGGATCGGAGTTGGACAGCCCTGGAGAAATTGATTACATGAGAGCAACGCACGCTGTTGGCTGCAAGCTGCACGACTTCCCTCGTGGTCCGGCGCCGTCAGCAGCGCTTATGAGTCGATTGTATCCGAAAGAGATAAGAAGGTTGGCCAAGAAAACAAGATAAAAAAAACCCGACGCTACGCGGCCTGTCCGTTTCCTATCTCGGAGCGCCTCTTTCGACTTTTCAGCCTCTGCGCCTCGACCTCTTTTCTCTTGCTTCGATTCCCTTCCGCTTCCTCTCATCTTCCTCTTCTTTTCTTCTGTCAATCGGATTTCTCCAACACTTCTCCATGCATTCGTGCTGACAGGCGACAACAGCTGGGGACTGGACCATCTCCCTCCCAACCGCCGACGACATGCCTCTCCTCGAGTCGCAATCCGCTGCGGGCCTCTCGGCCTCGACCCCGGCAGAAGCAGCGCAAGACGGCCGCCGTCCTGCTCGCCGGATCCTCTTCCTCGACGCCTACGACTCCTTCACCAACAACATCGTGTCGCTGCTCAAGGAGGCGCTGGGCGACGACGTGCTGGTGCACGTGCTGCACATGGACCTCAAGACGCTGCACGCGGACCCGGGCCCCGACTGGACGCCCGAGCAGTTCCTCGCCCGGCTGCCGGCCTTTGACGCCGTCGTCTGCGGGCCCGGCCCCGGGTCGCCGCTGTGCGAGGCCGACGTCGGGGCCTTTCGCCTGCTGTGGAGGCTGCGCGACGAGGCTGCGGTCCCCGTGCTGGGCATCTGCCTGGGCTTCCAGAGCCTGGTCGCGCACTTTGGCGGCGGCATCCGGCGCCTGCGGAGGGGCCTGCACGGCATGGTGAGGGATATCGAGCACCGCTCGGGCGACATCTTTGCGGGCGTGCCGCCGTTCCGGGCGACGCTCTACCACAGCCTGTGCGCCGACGTGGGACAGGACGACGTCTCACGGGACGCGTGGGAGACGGACATGTGGCTGCCGCCCAAGGGAGCGCCGGATCTCGTGCCGCTGGCGTGGACGATGGAGGAGAGCGAGGATGCGGAGGCCGAGCCCGAGAGGATCTTGATGGGCGTGAGGCATGCGAGGCTGCCGTTCTGGGGCGTGCAGTACCATCCCGAGTCTGTATGCACAGATGCTGCGGCGCAGGGCGTGCTGAAGAACTGGTTCAGCCAGGCCCTCAAGTGGAACGAAGTAACCGGAAGACGAGTGCGGCCTGTGGATTTTGAACACATTTTCGACAGCCTGGCCCCAGCGACGATTGTCGAGCGGAGACTCGCTGCCCAAAACCACATCGCAACTCAGAAATGGTGGCGGGATATGCAGTCTGGCCTGGCTGCGTCGAGGGCAGCACCCGTCTATACTTGTCGTCGAATCAAGCTGCCCGATGGCGTGGATGCAGCCGACGTTGCGGAGCTTCTGGGTGTCGGCGGTGTCGATTCCATCATGCTGGACTCATCGAGCACCGTCAATGGCGACCCCTTGGCACGCAGCTCGGTCATTGCGCTCGAGGTTGACCAGGCGCTGCGCTTTGAATACCACGTCGGAGACAACTGGGTGACTCTGCGCCAGCCTGGGGCAGGAGGCCAGCAGGAGACGTGCCAGAGGATCGAAATCGACCGCAGCGATGAGCACGGCGCTTACGACGTGTGGAATGTCATCTCCGAGTACTGGCAGCAGCGCAAGATAGCTGAGGAGGACGGCCAGGAGCCGGCGTTCAAGGGCGGGTTCATGGGCTTTGTCACATACGAGATGGGACTTGGTACCTTGACCCCAAAGTCCGTCTCTGATAGCAGGGGCCATCACAGGCCGGATCTGTGCTTTGCTTGGATCTCAAAGAGTTTGGTGCTTGATCACCAGGCTGGCGTGGCATATGTGCAGGCTCTGACGGTCCCGGATTCAGATGCCCAGTCGTGGATCGATGAGATTGTAGCAAAGCTGCAGAGTTCGCGGGCATGGCAGCAGCCGGGCTACGGAGCAGACGAGTACAGGGCCATTGCCGCGAAGAAGCAGGCCAACGAGGCGCTGCTGAAGAGCATCCAGGAGCCAAGCGGCAGGCTGCGTTTCAACACACCGCAGCCAAACAAGTACGAGGACGATGTGCGCCAGTGTCAGGATGCCATTGCCGAGGGCCAGTCATACGAACTGTGTCTTACGGCTCAAACGAAGATGATTCGACCTCGCGGAGACGATGTACCGCATCACCTGCGGCCGTCGTCCGACGGTCCTAGCAACAACGAAGCAGCTTCTCCAGCATGGCCGAGCGGCGAAGAAGCGTCCAGCCACGGCACCCCATGGCAAATCTACCGCACCCTCCGCGCCCGCCAGCCGGCCCCCTACGGCTCCTTCATCCGCCTCGGCGGGGCCACGATCCTGAGCAGCTCGCCGGAGCGGTTCCTGGGCCACGACGCAAAGGGGCTCTGCTCCATGCGGCCCATGAAGGGCACGGTGCGCAAGTCCGAGGCCGTGTCGACGCTCGCGCAGGCCGAAGCGCTGCTCCACGTGCCCAAGGAGGAGGCCGAGAACCTCATGATTGTCGACCTCGTCCGGCACGACCTGTACGGCGTCTGCGGCGCCCGCAACGTCACCGTGCCGGATCTCCTCAAGGTGGAGGACTACTCGAGCGTCTTCCAGATGATCACCGTCGTCAACGGCCAGCTGCCCTCGTCGTCGCGCGCCGCGCCCAACGGGCTCGACGTGCTCGCCGCCGCCCTGCCGCCCGGCAGCATGACGGGCGCGCCCAAGAAGCGCAGCTGCGAGATCCTGCGCGCCCTCGAGCCCGAAGAGCGAAGCATCTACTCGGGCGTCGTCGGCTTCTTCGATGCGCGCGGCCACGGCGGCTGGAGCGTCACCATCCGGACCATGTTCCGCTGGGACGACGAGGAGGCGCCGCCGGAAGGACCAGGCGAGACGCGGCCCAGAGAGGTCTGGCGGATTGGGGCGGGCGGCGCGGTGACCATCTTGAGCACGCCCGAGGGAGAGACGGAGGAGATGTTCATCAAGCTGTGCGGTCCTCTGGGCGTTTTCAAAGACGCCGCGTGAAGCTGGAAAATTGCTGCTTTACAGGGCGGGGAAGTTGCAGAGACCGATTGAAAGGGGGGAGGGAAGTGGTATAGGGATTCTTTGGAGGATGTCGATACTTCAACATATGCATAGCAGGTGTTTTTCTCTTTGCTTTTGTTTTAACAAAGGGGGAATGAGCGGATATGGTTCAACATTAGATACGGTAGATCAGACAGACGCACGAGCGACGCTTTTTCTTTGCGAGATAAATGAATAACACAACTCATTCAAAGAAAAACAAATGTATGGTTCACCTGTCGTTTTGCGTAGTAAGATATGTTTCAAGCGCGCATCTAAACATCCAACACACGCATAGTAGTGGAAAAAGAGCCCTGCAACAGTAACCCCTAAGAACCGCTTATGCTCCCTATGAAATCCCGCCTCAAAGGACCAATGAAAACATTACAAAGAATCACCGAGTCTGATACAGGTTAATAGAAAAACTCCGTTCCTCAAGCAAAAAGAGTAGTAGGCTGAACCACTCATTCATGTTCGCACACACCGTAAGGAGCATCCCAGAGTCCCCCTTTCCGCCCACTTCGCAAAACCCCCTATCGGCATTTTTGTTTTTTTTCCTCATAAATGACTGTCGTTTAAAGCACACTTCGCTTTCTGCTTTATTTCAAAACTCCTGATCTTCCTGGAAGAACATGCCGAAGCTGATGATGGTCCCGTAGATCAGCAAGCCGCCGGTGATGGACATGATCATGGCTTCGACGCGGATGAGGTCGGAATGCGCAAGGACGACGGGGAGTGCTGCGCAGGGCGAGAGTTAGTCCATGTACAGTACATTGTTTTCCAGAGTTTCCTTTTAGAGGAGAGCCCGTGGACGAAAAGAGCGAATGAGCCAAAAAAGAGGATGACGGCAAAACGTACCAATTCCCATGACAACAAAGAAGCCGGTGAAGAACCTCCCCAAGTCGAGCACCGCCGCGCCGCCAGTCTCGACAAAGTCGTCCGGGTTGGCGCACCGGCCACAGATCCAGTTGGGCAGCGGCGCGAGGACGTACGTGGCGACGACGAGGAGCGGGTAGTAGACCTTGTAGAGGGCGCAGGAGAGGATGACGAGGAGGAAGCCCACGGCGAGGACGAAGGAGAGGGCAATGATGGTCTTGAGGCCGGCGGTAGGCATGGTGGGTAGAGAATCGTTTCTTTTCTACTTCAGGCAATCGTTGGGTTGTCGTGTGATGAGCGTCAAAGGTCTGTCGTCGTGATGGACAAAGGTGAGATTGGAGTCGGGGTGTTGATGGATGACAGCCCCGCGAAGGGGGATTTGAAAAGCTGGCGAAGCTGCGGAGATGAGCGCTGAAGGGTATCTAGGATGCAGGAGAGGCGGCGGCGGAGCGGACAGAGGAGGAAAGTCAAGGAAACGGTATGCGCGAGGTATCGTCGAAAGGGTCCGAGTCGTTGCTTGGTGTTGAGGCGATTATGATGGAAGAGAGGCGGCTGATGCAGCGAGTGACGCAGGCGCTTGGGCTAGCACCAGCCACAGTCTGGGCGGAAGCGTGTTCTTCCGGGGCCGTTGCGCAGGGGCATGGACTAGGCAGGCGGTCAGCAGCTTTTGCTGGGAACGCTTGAAGAAAAAATATGGGAATCTGGAGAAAAGATCCGCCCCGCCAGGAACTTTTTTTTTTTTTTCCTTTGCTTTGCATTGAAGTTCTTCCATATCAAAGCCTTGGGATTCCTCTTCCTTTTTCCTTTTTCTCTTCCTCTCCGTTTCTTTTTTTAACGTCTTCTTATTCTCGACTCTTATTTATCCTTTGGGGGGAAAGGATTCGGCAAAATGGCTTCGGACGAGATTGTGTGGCAAATCATCAACCAGCAGTTCTGCTCGTTCAAGTTAAAGTGAGTCTGGGCTGGCAAAGAAAACACCGTCAACACCTCGCGATTGAAGATACTCGTCGCTCTCTACGCAATTGGCGGCTGCTGCTCAAACGGGAAGCATATGAGTGCTAACCATGCTGCAGAACGGAGAAGCAGCAAAACTTCTGCCGCAATGAATACAACGTCACCGGCCTGTGCAACCGGCAATCATGCCCTCTCGCCAACTCGCGGTACGCCACCATTCGGCAACACCCGACCAAGGACACGCTGTACCTCTACATGAAGACGGTCGAGCGTGCGCACCTGCCCTCCAAGATGTGGGAGCGCATCAAGCTGTCAAACAACTACACAAAGGCGCTGGAGCAGATTGACGAGCGGCTCATCTACTGGCCCAAGTTCCTCATTCACAAGTGCAAGCAGCGACTCACCCGCCTGACGCAGGTGCAGATCCGCATGCGAAGGATCGCCGCCGAGGACGAGCGTCTGGGCGAGAAGCTGGTGCCGAAGCTGGCTCCCAAGGTCAGGCACCGCGAAGCGACAAGAGAGCGCAAGGCCGAGGCCGCCGCCAAGCTGGAGAGGACCATTGAGAGAGAGCTGCTGGAGCGTCTGAGACAAGGCGCTTACGGCGACCAGCCCCTCAACGTCAGCGAGGACATCTGGAAGAAGGTGCTCAACGCCATGGAGAAGGGTGGCGAGGGCGAGCGCGACAAGGACATGGACCAGGGCATCGAGTCTGATGAGGAGGAGGAAGAGCGGGAGGGAGAGGCCGGAAGCGAGGAAGACGACGCCGAGGCTGCCATCGAATACGTGTCCGATCTCGACGAGAGCGAGGACGAGCTCGAGGACCTTGAAGACTGGCTGGAGAGCGAGGAGGAGGAGGAGGAAGAGGAAGAGGAAGACAGCGACGAATCCGAGGCCGAAAAGGCCGGCAGCAAGCGCAAGCGCGGCAAGGTCACCAAGATGAAGAGCAAGCGGCCGAAGCAGCAGGAGAAGGAGAAGCTGACATTGACCAACGACCTGGCGTGGTAATGGGGTTTCGACATGGAAGCGGTTGCTCATACTGTCATACGGCGTCGTGGCGAATGGGACGTGGTTCTTCGTGCTGATCAAGCAAGGGCACGGCATTGTGCGGGTTGTCTTAATATGTGGGATTTCGAGTGTGTGTATCTATCATAGGCTCGGATTGGGCTTCATGGCATACGGCGTCGGGATATAGAAAAACAAAACGGGGATCTTTGGCTTACTGTCGAATTGAGGTCTTGCTTGATGCAAGTTTATATGATTTGGATGTGAAGATGTGTGTAGGACCAGAGGCAGATGTATGCTACCATCATCTACCTATGCACAGCCTTATCTTTTGAAAGGCCAAGCTAGGTTGGTAGCTCCCTAGCTAGCCATCCTTTTAAGATATCAATACTACTATCGCCTTGACGGAGCTTTTCACGTTTCACGGCATTGTTTCACCTGGTTGAACCGAGCCAAACGCTCAGCTGGACGTCCCTTCACGCACCCCCCCCCCCCCCCCACCACCACCACCTCAAACGGCGGGCTACCACAGGCACTAAAGCCGCCCACTAACAGAACCTTGAAGCCCTGAGCCGCCTGGAAACGAATCGAGTTACAGGCCCTGCGGCGCTCATCAAGCACTGGAACCAGAGCTTCCATCTTCCAGCGCCAATCCGTCCCGTCTTCAACCCCACGTCACTACCAGGTCACAGCCGCCAACCTCCTTTCCCTCCTTCAACACCACACCCTCAACCACCGTCAACCCACCAGCTTGCTCCAGGCGAACGGCGCTGCTTTGCCCGTGTTGTTGTTGCTTCTGCTATTTGCCTGCCCTCTTCATTCCTGCTTCTTTTCTTACAGATACCCCAGCTACGAGCCAGTGGCAATCAAAGTCCCCTCAATCTCGCCTTCTCACCGCCGCAAACAGAGAGCCCCGAACACGACCCGGACCAGGAGATCTGCAGCCGAAACCATCACCGCCAGATGGCCACAGCTTGAGCCTCTGCTACCAGCTCGCCCGTCCGCCCAGCACACGACCTCCCGATCACATCAACCCAATCGGGGCGTCGCAGTCCAGTCGTCTTCCTCCCAGCAAATCCCTTAGACGCACACAGCTTTTCCACCACAGCATTCCGAGCTCGCACACGACCTCCTCTGCCATTCTCTCCTCCAGCACCACGCGAGCTTCCACGCCGCCGCCGCCGCCCTCGAAACCGCCGCCATGAGCTCCTGGTACTCCAACCTCGTCACAAAGACGTCGTCGCAAATCTCCAACCTCCGCTCGACGCTCCTCTCGAGCGAGGCCGACGGCGACACCGAAGACGACACCCACGTCTGCCGCGTCCTGCGCAACTACTACACCGAAAAGGGCCGCCCCTTCCCCGGCTGGCTGCCCCCAGACCCCAAGGCGCCGCCGCCGCAGATGACGCAGGCCGTCTACGCCCAGTCGCAGGTCGGCGCGCGGTACGGCGGCCTGGGCGGCGGCCCGCAGCAGCCCGGCGGAGGGCTCAGCAGCCTCTGGGACAACGGCCCCGCGCAGCAGCCCGCGCAGCCGCAGGTGCCGCAGAGCCTGCGCGCGGGCCGGCCGGCGACGACGCAGCCGGGCACCGCCAGCTCGAGGGACGAGCTGCTCGGCAGGGGGCCGGCGCCTCGCGCGGGGAGCTATTCAGGGCCGGGGCCGGCGCCTGCTGGGTCGGCTCAGGATCGCCTGAAGCAGCGGCTTTGGGGAACCCGCACCACGAGCCCGTCTTCTACCAACGGCAACGGGCCATTCCAGCCACCGCCCGGCGGGGGCTCGGCGGGTGCAGGCGGCAGCCATCATTCTCAGGGCAGCTACGAGGACAGGTTCGCCCCAGGGGGCTCCTACGATAACGCCAGGGGAGGCGGAGCTGGAGGCGGAGGCAGTCAGCCGTTTGTCGGGGCAAACGCTCCCTGGTCAAGTCATGGCGGAGCTCCTCACGGTGGAGGAGCTGCGAATGGAGTACAGAGAAAAGGCCTTCCCAGCGGTCCACGGGGGTATAGATGAGGTGAAGGGGAGCGAAAGATGTGTGTTTTGATCTCCGTTCTATTTTCTTTTGCATCATGTATAATGTCTAGGTCTAGGGTATGTGGTGTATATTCTCTGTTTCATGTAGCTGATTTTACGAGTTGCATGGTCATTGTCGTCTTTAGCCAAGCAATGTATAATGCCTATTAATGTTATTCTTGTTCTTTTGACTCAATGCCTCATCTCCGGCGTTTCAAGTGCAGTTTCTTGCACAAGGAAAGTATCAACTTCAAAGGGTACCGCTCATGACGACAAGAGCTATGACGTGCACACGACCCAGGGCCTGTGGACGGTTTACACATGAAATGAATGTACGAGAAAGTTGAAAATGCCAATCGTTTTGTGTCAAGCAGCATCAATTCATCGCTGGGTGAAAGGAATCCATCAAAAGCCAGAGTACCAGCAATAGAAAACAACGCCCCGCTCCCATGAAGCTTCCCATGATCATCAATATCCGACACCCAAAGAGAAAAAGTAACAACGAATATCAGCAAAAAGAGGTACTATCCAATAAGACGCATAAATGAAGTAGAAATACAAGGCTCGTTTTCGTAAAGAAACGCCTTCATTCAATCATTTTGAGTCAGTCGATCCATCGGCCTTCAGGGCTACCTTTGGCGGCTTCCTATCCAGCGTCTCTACCTTGCGGCTAAGTAGCTTTCGCAGCTCGGGGGTAATCACGCGTTCGTGCTTGGGCGACGCTGCTGTGCTCGCTTTGCCTTTGTCGCTGGCGTTGGGCTGGGCTGGGCTGTCGGTTCGGGGAGGCGGGAAGTTGTTCCTCTTGTCGACTGCTTCGACGAGCCGCTGGAAACGGCGGAAGAGGGCCTCGGCTCGAATGATGGTTGAGTCGAGGTCAATGGTACCTGAAAGCTCATTCACTTTCAGACATGTTAGTACGTGTTTATCAAGTGGTAGTTTAAGGAGAAATGCACGACTTACCATATTTCAGCACTTCATCAAACGCCTTGAGATGGGTCATGATGACGTCTCTGTGCTTCTCGAGAATGGCCAGGGCAATAAAGAGGTGAAAGCTGGAGCTGCAGTAGTCCGTCCACAGGCACTCCCAGAGCTTGAGCACGTCCGGCCAGTCAAACTCGCGCTTGTACCAGACCAGGATCATGCGGAAGAAGAAGAAGAAGTTGGTGCTGTCGGTGCTCTGCAGATGATCCCACAGCTTGGGATCCATGAAGTGAACGAGCTGGTCCAGGGCCAACAGCTGGCCTCTCATACCGGACTGGTCGCGCAAAAAGTTGCGCTCCATTCGCTCCATGAACATCTGGAACGCCCAGAAAGCCACCGCGTCGTCCTGAACCACGGCGTAGATGGGCGCCAAAAGGTCCGACATGCCTTGGACGTAGCCAAGATCCTTGTTGTATTCATTGTACGTCAGCAGCATCTCCTTCATCTGCTCAAGATGGACATTGGTGCCCACTTCGGCAAAGGGCGAGTTGGGATCCGGATGAGGAGTATCTTCGCCGTGGAAGATGGGGACATTTCGATCTGTACGGTGAACGTCCTTCTCTAGAGAGAGAGAGAGATGTTGTCAGCATGGCTATACAAAGGGCTGTCCGTATATTCAAGACAGGGCTTACCGATGCGCCCACGCTGCTCGCGCCACCACTCGCCGTCTTCACCTTCTCCCCCGTCTCCCTCCAGTCGGTTCCACCAGGACTGCTTGAGCTTGTAATACTGATCCCTCAAGGAGGCGATGGTGGCCTTTCTCTCGTCGATGGTGCTGTACCAGTCGTACACGCCCAACAAGAACAGCCAGGCTTCCTTTCGAACCCCGTCATCGGGATCCAGTCCGCCATGGAAGATGCGCTCTTTGACTTCATCCACCGCAATGGACAACCTCCCGGTCTCGGGATCAAAGAAGGCATCCCACTCCTCTATTGTGACTGGCTGCTTCCTCTCCTCTGCCAAAAGGGAGCTTGTTCCCTCGAGAAGCTCGAATTCTCCGACGCCAGTATCTTCAAGCTCCATGACATCTCGAACGGTCCAGATTCTTTGCCGGTGGTCCCGCTCACTCTGCTCAGCCATGCCCATGGCCCACCTGGCAAGGTATATCCTGGCGCTGTCAAACTCATCTTGAAGCGTCTGAACCTCTGGGTTCCTGAGCAACCTGCGTACCTGAGGGGGCAGGCTGGGATTTTCTGACAGGTCGTGCGCTGCCCTCCTAGTCAAGGTAGTCACTTTGCTAAACTTTTCCATGAGATTCCACCCAGTCTCTTTGACAAACTTCATGAAGGGGTCCATCTGGGCATCTTTGGCGTTGGAGCCTCCCGCCTTGGCTTTCCCCTTCGCTTTGTTTGTCGACGTCCTAGCGCCAAAGCTTTCCAAGTCCTCCTTGCTCGGCTCAATGAGATAGATGTTGGGCTCTGCCCCCGACCTCTCGATCTTGACGTACCTCCTCAGCCATCGCAGGACTTCATCTGCGCCCCAGAACATCTGGCCCTTGTCTCCAAACGGGTCAAAGTTGTCTCGAGCCAGCTTCTTTTTCTGAAGAATGGTGCTTTGACACTCGTCATCATGGAAGAAGAGCGCAGGGAAGCTGTCCCCCCCTCGAGAGTTGATGATGATGGAGCCATACCACCAGCCCAGACTCGGCGGCCGGACCAGCAGAGAGTAGATGGCACTAACGGGAATGGCAAATGCGTAGCCGCCAACCGAGCTGCTGTGGCTGGTCACTGTAGGAGGCGGAGGGACAAGATATGACTGCTTGGGAGGGGAGTCGGCATCGGAGAGGTCGACCCTGACGTAGATGCTAGCCGAGTCGCCGAGTGATGCTTCGGGAACCCAAGCAAGAAGCAGGTCTGAAGACGCAATTCTATTGGATTTATTGGTCGAAGACGCCGTGGGTGGGCGATCCCGCCTTGTGCTCCTTTGCTGCAGCAGGGCTATGTAGCCGGGTATGTTGTCCTTTGCAGACGGCGTCGGATGGACGTAGACCTGAGCAAGTCTGTTAGCCTGTTTGTCGTAGTGGAAATGGTCGTAGAGGAGGGGGAGGGAGGGCATCGCGCACCTTGCTCTTGGAGAAGAGCAGCTTGACTCCTCTGCCGGACTGCGTGTGTGTGATGGTCTCGTAGCCGCCCTCTTCATCGTCGCTCATGGCGTAGAAGCTGCCGGCCGGCGACGCTGGACGAGCCGAGTCGCTCTGGGAGGCCTGGCCTGAGGTCATGATGCTTGTGCTATCGTGAGCGTCGCTTTGACGTAACCGCTAACGATGGCTTTGCGACACAGTCAGTGCACTGGAGCCTCTGCCGAGGGTCCCCCGTTGGCCGTCTATAAGAAGGGGAGAGCAAAGGGGATAGCCGATGGCGATGGGATGCCACAGAAGAAGTTGACGATGATGCTGATGCCTTAAGAAACGGACTTGCTGTGACTGTGTCAACTGTGTAGGAACGACAAGCAAAGAGACGGTTGCGGAATTGAGTTGCATGTGAGCTGCTTAGGCGCTGAATGACGACCAGACGGCAAAAGAGACGCGACAGCTTGTGCATGTGCCCCGCCACCGACGCCTGGGGAGGTCACCCGCATGCGCTGGGGTACTGGGTACAGCTACCGGGAGGTGCCGCGACGGCTGGCTGCAGGTGCGGGTACCGGTACGGGCATGTGGCGGCTGCGATGCTCCGGCGAGGCGGAATCATGCTGCCGAAAGCTGGAGGAGTCGAAGCGCCTTACGTACTTGCCATACGCAATGCAAACACCAACTTCTGCTTTTGTATACGAGAAAGGATTTGGCAACAATACGGCAGACGTTGCTGCGATGATGCCTATGAGAAGTTGAGGCGTAGTATCACAGGCAAAGGAGCCTGTTCATGAGGATCCGTCCATCAAGGTAATACCTACCCATCTTCTCCATCTACCTAATCGCAATTACGAGACCAAGCATCAATACTCGTGTTCCCATTGACTCTATACTCAGCTTGAACAAGATGAGACCAGCATGAAAAGTCTCCAGATTGACATCTCAGAATATTACCTCCAGACCATACACAGAAGCACGGATAACCACCCATATGTCATATATAATTACCAGTGCAGACATCGCCCGTGAAGTGACACCAAACGCCAATCTTCGTTTACCCGCTTCAACAAAATTCCGCCGACAGGAGTCTTTCCTTCGTACCCTAAAACAGAGATGCGTCCATTTGGCGTCTGACAAACCCGGCAACCACGTGCTAGAACCGGGTAGTGCCTGATTGTCAAAGGATCGCAGGCACAGCTTTAGCCCAAGGCCCTTGCACGTCATCAACATCGTCAACATCACTCCACCACGAAACCTCAAACCTCCTCCGACAGGAGAATCGGGTGATAGTCGGGCTCGACCGCGGTCTCGGGGTCCGTGTAGTTGACGGGCTTGTGGATCCGCACAATCCAGAGCAAGTAATCCTCGAGCACGCACAGGTTCAGCAGCAGCCCGTTTGCATGCCACGCAATGCCGCAGACCATGGCCCCAGCAACAGCGTCGAGGATGAAGTGGTTGGCGGTAGCAACAATGGCCGTCAGGATCAGCGCTGGGTAGGACAGGCCCACGACACCAATGGCCAGGCGCTTCCAGGAGTTGGGCCGGACTCCATTCACGGGCAGAGTCGCGATTGTCAGACCGATAAGGAGAGAATAGCCAAAGTGCAACGAAGGCATGGCAGCTGTCATAGGGAAACAAACAAGGTCAGCTCACTGATACGCAACAAAGGAGGCAGCATCTGATTTCTCACCGTATTGATTGCAGAACTTGTTTGTCGTCCAAACACTGCTCTCACCAGTTGCGCTGTGGACACTATCGACAAATCCGAAGCTCTTCGCTTCCGGAGCGTCCGGTCCGTTATAGTTGGGATCGCTCAACAGCCGAGGCGGCATGCAAGGCCACAGCGTAAAGACGACAAAGGCAATCAGATTGCACATGGCCATAGTCCGCCGCCTAGCTTCATATAACGCAGGCCCGGCGGATACGAGGTCGTTTCGGACACGGCCGGACATGGCTCGACGCTTTCGAGAGGTCGTCAGGTAGAACAGGGCCACCAAGAAGAAGATTGTCCCGGGAATGTGGATGAAGGAATACACTCGATTGATCCAGTGCAGCAGAATCGGACGCTCCAAGAACCACTGTTGGACGGCTACTTCCCAGAAGATACCCAGGCGTTGCTCCAGATGAACCACCTTGAGGGCGTGCTTTCGGGCGACATGGACGGTCCCTTGGACAATGGTGACAGCGGTGAACGCTCTGCCTAATTGGTACACCTGGAGCAGAACGACGAAGAGCGGTTAGTCACTCTAAACGACAAGTCTCGAAGGACAATGACAGCCAATGTCTCGACTTACCCAATAGATGAGTGCCCAATACCACGCTTCTACCAGGAAGGGGAACTTCTGGAGGACTCGACTCAGGAATCGATCCTTGAAGACGAGAGTATTCGGAGTCGTGACTGTCTTCTTGAAACCGAGGAACCGAACGTTTCGTCGTCGAGATGTGAGAGACCAGGTCGATCCGTCGTCGGATCCCAGTGTCGGCGATGACGACCCGGAGCTCCAAGGAGGGCTTCGAGGGGAGCTGGTCTCTGTCGATATGCGCTTTCCTCCAAAGTCATCACTTCGTTTGCTGCCACCAGCCCAGCCTTGAGTTCCCTTCCAAAAGTCATAGTCCTTGTTTCTGTTGAACCAGGCTCCTCCGAACAGGAGCGTCACGACCACAAACGGTTCCAAGAATGCGCCGACGGCCATGGTGAAAAGAGCACAGATATTAAAGTTATTGTCGACTTGTGGTGAATACATCTATCGGACGGAGAAAGGTCATTGAAGGAGTTGCCAGTTCTAAGAGGGTGCCTTGGGAGACGAGAACCAACGCCAAATGAGGACGAGCGCAATCAGTCAAAGAGCAAGAGGTGAAACGAGCTTCTCCCTCCACCACTCCACACTCAGTAGGTGAGAAAAGAAACAAAGAAGAGAACAAAGACGTGCTAATCAGATGGCAGATGGTTGATAAAGAAGAACCGGGCACTTGAGCTATGATGATACGCGAGTGCTGGTGGACACGGGGCCTTGCAGGTATTTACAGGCACACAAACGTCGAGCCATCACGGACAACGCTCCGGGGAGCGGACGCTTTTGAGGACCAGACACGGCAACACTTCCGTACTATCTAGTACTTGCTTTGAATATCTCGTAATCCTGAGAAGAGCGTGGCGCACCATCACGACGCAAGCCTCGCAAGCAGGTACCTGGATGTTACCACCACAAGACAAATAGCTAATTCTACCTGCCTTCGGCCCCGAAGGCACGCTAGGACGAGCAGGGAGGGAGGGTCCGGAAGAAGGCACGCATAGACAAAAGGCTACCAGTGAAGCCGCCGAGGTGGTGCAGCGTCATGGATATCAGAGATGTTGGGCTAATGGCAGCGTTGGGTGTGAGAGCTTTGGCCACCCCTCTGGCTGTCTTGTATGAGGCCCGTTGTGGCCGACAGTTCGGCACTGACTTTCCGGAGGTACGAAGTTACATGGCAGCTCTCGACGATACTTTACCTGCCTTCTGTCAGCATCTCATGCTATGAGAGGGTCAATAACGATTTGTCCCGATGTATCCGACTCTGCCCTGGGACGAATACAGCGGCAAAGAGAATGACTATTCAATGGTCACAGAGCTCGGAGCTTTAGCGTTGAGCGAAGCCCGCAAAGACAAATAAGAGTTCTGGATTTGTCCACATATTCTGATAGCCGCCCACCAGAATGCCACCGGGACCCCCTTCTCCATGCCTGGAAACCCGGATATCTGGGGCCCATTGAATAGAGTGATGGCATGGCAAGGGGCAGGCAGCATTTTTCAAAGCAACGGACCAGGTAGGTTTTACGAGGGGATTCGTAAGTGCTCGTACGAGGTACGAAGTTCGCGGTGGTATGTACGATAACACTGCGGCAGCTTTCATCAGACTCGCCAGGCCGAGATCTGATTGCTTCTTGGGCTGTCACTGGCTGGACTGCTGGCTGGATCGAAGTGCGGCAAACAGCGACAGGGGTTTTCATGGGCATGGCAATAGCCGGCAATGGACAAAAGGCTCTTGTCTCGTTCCACGGAGTTCAGCAACCTCCAGCTCAGGGCCGAGCTCCATCTTCGAGCTGCAGGTCGCGTGCTTCTACTCCACATCTCGGTCTGAACAAGGCCGTTGTTTACGTCGAGGGGGGCGACACAGTATCGGAACCGGCTCTGGATCGTTTGTTGGAAGGGGTAGCGCTTGTTGTTCAAGTTGGTGTCGCGTGACTTGGTCCAACAAGAGATGAGAGAGCGTTTGCTCACATCATAAAGCTTCACTCCACGACTGGCCGATGCTGGTTAGTGCGCAATCGGCTTTCCTAGCCGGGATCTTGCTCGAAGCAAGGACGGAGGCCATTGAGGGATAAGACCAGGACACCCCTCTGACCGGCGTTTAGCAGGTGGCTGAGAGCGTTTTACACTAGGACGACGAGGAAACGGCAAAAGGGGGGGCATTTGCCTGTTGTTTCGCCTTCGAGTCGTATCTGACCGCACTGTGCAAACTCTAATAACTGCCAACCTCTTTTGCTATCATATATGAGCTCTGCGGCGCTCAAAGACGCTTCTCACGGTCCGTCCGCTTCTTGGGCGCCACATTTGCTCGCTGCTAAGCCGCTGCCTTTCTTGCCCGCGATACAGCAAGGGCTGGGCCATTGGAATAATATGCCGTTTGGCCGCCTTTTGGCATACCCTGCGCGGTGATGATGGCAGTATTAGAAGGCATGAACTTTTTCGCTGGACCCCCATGGTTTTTCTCACGTCTTTGACCCGAGTCGCCAGCTCTCTCGCTCTGCTGAAGAGAGTCGGCTCGCACAGAGAGCTCCTTTTGCCCTCACGACCCCATAATGTGGGCAAAGCAACGGGTCTCACTATCGAGCTTTTGCGCAAATCGAGTGATTCGACAGATCCGGATTGTCCGGAAATTGATGGAGATGGAGGGGGGACGCATCAGCAGAAGACAAAACCGGTCGGTTCCCTTTGAGGCCCGAAGTCCGTCATAATCCCACACAAACCTTTTCCACTTGAGATGCGACCTCTGTATGTACGAAGTTACTTTGGCCACACACACACACACACCCGACACGAGTCTTCCAACCCGTCGGCTCGGGTGAGCACGTGCCTCGTTCTGCCACGGCGTTTTGCTGTTGCTTGAATGTACTTTAACAGGTAATACTAATCGCGACTTTGAAGCAAGACTTAATGACTTCCACAATAGGTAGGTAAGCTGGATAATAATGGATAGTAGTAGTATGTACTTGGTTCAGAGGTCGGCAGTAGTGAAAAGGTATCACCGAGACATGCATGATCCAAGGCGTTTCTCATTCGATGACGTCTTGAGGATGAGTTTTCTGGTACTGAGAGATGGTCGAGGGAGGTTATGCTGTCTCGATTACTTATTCGTCCAGTTTCGTGGATTACTCAACGTCATTGGCAACTGGAGTTGAGAACGACAAATAACACCACCAAGTTTTAATTCCGGCAATACGAAGAGGGAATCGTGCGTTACCTATAACCCTGCCATCATGCCTGCATTGTTCCTGGGGTGCACATTCTTCCTATTGGACGTATGCGAACTACAGTATTTCCAACATGCAGCATCATACGATTGACAGAACCGGTCCAGCCTGCGATAAACATATCTAGGTAGCAAATGCCTGTGCTGATAAGGAACGGCCTATTGATGTATCAATCGATGTGATGTCTATCGAAGAGGATAAACTAGACCCTCACCCCAAGTCCTCTATTCAGAGTCATTAGTCAGGAAGTATAACATTCAGCGTTGTTGTTGCATTTATTACCAGACCCATATACAATGAAGCAATCCCCTACATGATGCAAGCCCGTACAAGTTCCCTGTGACCAACTCCCGTTCCTTTTTTCTAATGTTCCCCTTTCCGAAAGGGGGGTAGCTCTGCATTCCAGAAAGTGCAAGCCATGGTTGACGATCAATGCTTCTCTCCAACATAAGCCATTTCGTCTTCCTCAGCCATCCGTCCCAGAATGAGGCTTTGAATCATGAGCTCATCACACAACACACGAATGTTCCTCGTCACCGACGGCGCCTGCGATCTCCGCCGCTTCTTCCCCGTAGACTCTGATACCGTGAGCACAGACTCCACCGTGCCAATCGACTCGTCCATGTACAGCCAGGTAAACGGCTCGCCCGCCTTCTCCTGTGCGTCCAAGAATTCGCGAGCCTGCTGTATCGTCGACACCCAGGAGATGGACGGCCCCAGCGCCTGGGCAAGGAACATGTACGGCCGCTTCTCCAGGTCCGTCTTCTTCTTCTTTCCCTCGCTTCGGGTCCTCGTATCGTCCACGAGCGCGAGGAGCTTCTCCCCCGCAAGCAACTTTGGCCGGTGGTCGACCATGTCTATAAGTCTAGCCTCTGCCGCGTCGTAGCGCCGTAGGCATCTGGACCTGACGGCGTTCCCTAGAACAACGGACGATCCTGCCGCCAGGAGATAGGGCTCCCAGTCGATCAGTATCCCCTTGTTGAGGCACGTTATGACCCACTGAAACGCCAGACAAGGCAGACCCAGAGCCAGTGCTTGCATGTACTTGACTTTTCGCGAGTGCTTGTCTGCTATCAACGCTGTAAATCCATAGTGCAAGCCGGCCTTTGATAAGCTCAGAGATGCTCCATTGGCAGTGGCTGGTACGTCGTGGGTGCTCATGACGGAAGAAGGCTCAAACAGCTCTTCGAAACCAGACTCTAGAATAAGGCCACCAGCCTGCTTGATCTTGGTTTCTAGATTTGCGCGCGTCTTTTGGCTCTCCTTATCCGCTGACATTGATATGGCAAATACCATGCCCTCAAACAGTCTTCGCCCGCGAAAGGTAGATCCAATACTTTGCTTGAATATCCTGCTGGACCTCAAAGAGGATATGCCCATCTCAAGGGCACTGCTGGGCGGTGATTGCTGTAACTCGTCGGTAGAAGTCGGGTTGATACCTGCAGATGGCATACTCGTCTTTTGCCCCTTTGCTGCTCCCTGTGGCGTCTTCTCCCTCGATGTCCGCTCTGGATGCCGAGTCCGCATTTTACGATTTTGAGCCGGAGAAGATACATTGGTGGTGGACTTGGGTTGGTCAGAAACCGGAGAAGCCTGTGTATCTGGCGTATCCTTGTCTGAAACGACTGGCGTTGATTTAGCCGTTAAGCTGGACGACGTATGATGTCTCCGGTCCGTTGCACGGGCACGCATAGGCGTAAGCGGTGTCCGCTCGCTCCTTTGCGTCGCAAGGGATGTTGCTACAGTCGCTGCAGAATGCGACCTCGTAGGTGACAGTCTCGGGAGCTCTGGCTCTGTGTTGCCCAACTCCATCTGCCCGCCATGTTCGATTGATACACGAGACACAGGCTCACTTGTTGATATGGGGGCTGCATCGCTCGAGCTTGCAAGAGCACCCCTTCGTCCTCGTGATTCCGGCTCGACCGACGATCTCTCATTAGTCTCCGAAGATGTGATGATCCTGTTTCGACGACGGCTTTGTGCGTGTCTACCGTAGACTCTTTGTGCATGTCGACGAGGCGGAGGCAACGATGAGGGTTCCCCATCTTTGTCCGCCTCCTCATCTCCAACCTCATTCTCAATGAGGGTCGGCAGCTCAGGCTCGGAGGCCAGTGGAGCACCACGCTGAGCCCCTGTTGATAGAGATCTCACAGGACTAGTAGCGGGTATCATATCCTCAGAGGCAGACTCCTTATTTCTTCTGCCTGGTCGAACAGGCCCCATCTTCTTGCCGCCTTCGCCTAATGTCGCATCTCGCGGAGTGGCTTTGGTAGACCCTGCTGATAGACTCTGCTCGGGCAAGCTTGATCCTTTCTGAGGACTCTTTGAGCCGGGACGCGCCTTGGCATCCTGTGGAAGATCTGAAGCTGATGACTTGAGCGGACGGTCCTCATCCTCACCGCCCGACGACAGCTTTCTTCTCTTACGATTCCGGCCTTCGCCCGAATCCTGCCGCGAAGGTATCGGCACCCTCACCTTCTCCATCTCTTCCGCAGCCTGAAGTCGTATCTTGTCCATCCTCTTCTTACGCCTCATCCTTATAACGGCATCGTCCGGGTCGCTGTCAATGCCCAGGTCCCGAGGCGGTGCTCTCGTTATCGCTTTACGCTCTTGAGACTTCTTCATCGGCTCGTAGTAGGACTGGACTTGCGCAGGGGGTTGCCGGTTGCCAAACGACTTCAGCGGCTGGATCGTTGGTGATTCCGGAATCATGTCATCTTGAGGATCACCGTCTTCGTCTTCGTTCAACACCTCTTCCCGAATCGGGGACACTCGAGGCTTTCTAGTGGTCGCGGCGACGGTAGTCAATCGGCTGGGGCTTGACGTATGCAAAATGGTAGGCGAAGAGACATTGTCGCGACGCTTCAGAGGAGATGTCGGCATCAAGTTCAAGGACATTGTGTCAGGCAGCATTGCCGGCGACGGCCGCGACGACGTAGGGCTGTGAAGCTTCATAGCCGAGGTTACCGCAGGAGTCTGTTCAAACAGCTGTGTACCTGCAAAGGGAACGGCGGCACCTCCATTGTTCTGCACGGCAAAGGGATTCTTCGCCGGCAGCGGTGTCTCTGGCAAAGGAACGCCGGGTTTCAACGGGGTAAAGCCATGACTCGACCGCTGCTGCGACGTCAAGTCGGGCGCCCTCCATCCGCCTCGAGTATTCTCAAAGCCTGCATCTTCCGAGACCTGTGATGACGGCCGCACACCAGGGCTCAGATTTCCAAAGTTGACGGCGCCGGTATCGTCAGCCTGCAGCGTCTTCTCGGGCTCGTCGTGCAGCGGCAGCGTATCGGGCGGGGGGCTCGACACAGGAGGTCGGTAGAATTGGCCATAGTCCTGCTCTGTGTTTTCCTGCGTGGGCGTGTACTGCGACGTGTCCATCGCCTTGTCTTGTGGTTCCCCAGCGCCAATTGGCAAGGCTGGAGGCTTGTCGTTCGGGGTGCGGGTATCGTCGTCGTGTGGAGAGGTGGAAGAGCGTGCATTTCGATTGAACGGGCTGCTGGCCGCTATGACAGCTTCTTCCGGGTCCCGTCCGCGCAGCCCCGGTCGGGTTGGCGGTGGGCGAGGCCGGGGTGCTTCGCGTCCCACTCTGTGAATGCTGCCTATGAAATTACCTGTAATATTCACATCGCCATGGGCAGTGGCAACGGCTTCCTGTGGCGCAAGCTGCCGTTGGTTCTGTCATTTTTCACATCGTCTTGTCAGCTTTCACGTGTTTCTCGCTGTGACTTTGGCTCTCCATCAGAACGGCAGACCAAAGGGCAGCGGGCTTCTCCATTGTAGACACAGCAGAAGATACGCGTTACAGGGGCCTGCACGAACCTCGAGCCCATCTCGCCGCGGCCCTCTTGGCCTCGGATCGCCATCATCAGCGTGCCAATCTCTCAGCGCATCTCCAGCGCCTCCCCCAACGCTCTCGCTCGGGCTCCCGATCCCGGCTGGTGGCTGCGAGGCAAGGGTATCGTCAAACCGCTGTCATTGGTCGAAATGCTGGTCAGCGCGCGCAAGAAAAGAAAAGAAGCAAACGCGGGATGCAGGTCATGACCCTGGTCTGGCCCGTGGCTGCGCGCTACGTACCGCTGCAGGCTGCAACTCTGCCTTGAGGGCCTCGAGAATCAGTTGGCTGTCTTGCGATTCGACGGCTTCTTGCAGCAGCAATTGATCGGCTCGCGTCAGCGGCCGTGATGGCGACATTATGAGAGCATTTTCCCCTTGGTGTTTAGAACGAGGGAGGAAATTTGGCGGTTTGTTCGAGAGTCGTTTCGCAGAGGCTCTGGCGGGGCCCCTTCCCAAGTGAATCCGAGTGACAGTGAACAAAGTCTCGACGCCACAGTAACGCGCTGTCACGTGCGAGCAATCTTTACCTGTACTTCCAGGCAGCCACTGACTTTATAGATCCTAATTGAGTCCTCCTCACTATAACGGGTGTGGCTTTATTTAGGCGAGAATAGCTTCAACTTGGCGGTATTCAAAGCAGTACATACGAGTATTATGCTCGCTGTTAATAGGTATCCATTGCTCCACACCTCAAGCTATCTCTTCACTTATATGTGGGCAACTCCATCATCAGATTCACCATCGGGCATGCCATTAATCAAGTAGGTACAGAAGAAATTGGGTATACATCTACTAGTATCGATTTCATAACTCATCATGAAAACTCATCGTCATCATCCCCCCAGTCTCCTCCAGAATAATCCACAGGGGACTTGCCCGCCCACTTGTTATTCTGCGAAGCTGCAACTGGCCTCGCAGACGCTGATCCTCCCGAGAACAACGGAGCAGGGGCCATGCCACTCGTGTACTGCTGCTGCGAGGGGTCATTGACAGCGTTGCCTTGAGTAGATGTCTGGCTATTTGGCGGCAGGGTCTTCCAATCGGATGATGTTGTAGAGACAGATGCCGCGTCTGAGACATCGCGACGATGAAGTGTAGACCCTCCCGATGGACCTTGTCCGGCAAACGGTGCTGGATGAGGTGCAACTTGCTGATACTGCAGTTGCTGCTGAGCCAATGGAGCCCCCTGGGTTACTGGCTGTCCGCCTTGAAACCCCATATGAAATTGCTGGCCACCAGACTGCATCCCAAATTGACTGGCACTGGGAAGTGGCTGTGGAATAGGCACGGGAGGGAACGTCTGCTGCGGCTGTTGAGTCACAGGGCTCTGGGCCGCCGATTTGGAGCCGCTGCTCTTGAACCACTTTCCCCACGACTTCCTATTCTCCTTGCCACTGGACGTGGGAGACGTTTGCTGAGACGTTTGCAGCGGTGGTAGGGGAGCGGGCTGTGCTGCCGTAGGAGAAGTGGGGAGAACCGAATGCATTCTCTGCTGGAACTGCTGCTGGAGTTGATATGGTTGCGGTTGAGGTTGTGCTTTTGGGCCAAGCGGCTGGACTCCTTGTATGGGCATCGCATGAGTTTGAGACTGGCCTGGTTGAATGATCGGGCCACCCTGAACCAGGACTGGTGCTTGTGACGGTGCAATGTGCATGGAGGGAGCTTGACCATATGCTGGCTGCTGTCCTAAAGGGGCCATTGGGTACTGTACTGGCATCATTTGACCTTGAAACGCCGTTTGCCCCTGCTGTTGCAGCCCGCCTTTGTTCGGCAGAGTGGCCAGCGAGTCAGGAGGCGGTGGCTTGGTCAGAACCTTTCTCTGCTTCAACTTCGGCGGCGACACCGCAGCTGCACCATGCTGCGTCTCGTCATGCTCCTCAATACTAGTAAGGAGATGACTAGAAGCCGATGGCCCGACGCCCATAGGCGATTGCGGCCCCATCTGAGTCGGCACATCAGAGAAAGATCCAGCACTGGGTCTGACTTGACGTGAAGATTGCGATCTTTGGACTCCGCCAGGTCTCTGATCTGGGCTTGGTTGCATCTGACCATAAGGCTGTGGAGACGCCATCCCCTGCGGACTCTCTTGCCTGACATTCGCCGGTTGTTGCTGCGGCATCGAGTGTCGTTTCGACCTATCTTGCGTCCCACCCGCAGGTGGGATATAAGGGAGCTTCACGTTGGAACCTGAAGCACCGCCGGAGACTGGAGATTGAGGGTGCTCTTGAGGAGGAGGTCGTCCTATGGAACCATTCGAGGGGGGTATTGATGACGAACCCTGAGAACTGGGTGTAGAAGCAAAATAGGACTTTTGGGCATTCTGGGACGAAAAGGAACCGACGGATCCTCTACGTGACTCAAGTGGTGAAGGCGTCTCCAGGGGAAGTGCCCCGGACGATAGGCTTTCTGACCGAGATCGTATAGGCGACACTGGTAGGATCTCATCCTGGGTTGCCCGACGCTGAATGGGCCGTGGCTGTGGCGGAGGCGATTGATAGCTCGCAAAATTAGCATAGACGCCCGGATAAGCGACGCTCTGTGGTCTCGGCGGCTGGGAGCTTTGTGGCAGAGGGACGCTCTGGCGCGCATCGCCCCCTGGCTGGTAAGATGCCCGACGTTGCTGCTGAAACTGCTGCGCCGGCCCAGTCGTAGCTGAACGGGGTGCCATTCCAGCAGGTACTATTACGGCCCCAGAAGGCGGCGGAGGGCCTGTCCTGATGGGTATCTGTTGCTGCCGGCCTGGAGCTGGTTCCCGTCGTTGATGCTGAAGGACTGGCATCGCGCTTGCAGGCCGTGCTGGTTGTTGGCTTTGGAGTGGTCCATAAGGGGGGATTATTGGCGGTCCATCGTCAATTGGATATGGAGCGGTGGAAGTTCGAGCAATTGGTGCGTGAGGCATTGTAAGCGGCTCTGTTGGATAAGGGGGTTCAGCTGCCCCTTTGGGCGGGACTGGAGGAGCAGCATATTGCTGCGAAATATGGAGATTGGACTGTGGAAGATCGGGTGCCGTCGTATACGGTCGCTGTATGGGAGCTGGAGGTTGGGCTGTGGCAATGCCAAAGGGTTGCTTGGCTGGAATTGGAGAGTCCTGCGTTGGTAATTGTTGAGCAGCCGCGGCTGGTGCTGGAACTGGACGGGGGGCCGGGGTCATAGACGGCGGATGTTGCCCATGGGCAACAAACTGATACCCCGAAGTTCGGACGTCTTTCGATGGAGTTTGTGCACTAGAAGCTTGTTCCGATCCCTTGACAGCAGCCTGTCTATCGGGCGACTGTCCCGGCCTCCCTCGAGCAGGCCGAAGAACAGATGGATACTTGACCACACCGACCCCAAAACCATCTTGAGGAACTGCGTCATCCTGCCCCTGAGGAGCCGTAGAGGCAGTCGGCGTCATAGCCGGTGGTTGCTGCTGTATGCCAGAATTTCGGGGCGACCCATTCCTGGCCGGCTTCAGCACAGACGGAACTCTCCTTTGGTCCACCGGTGGCGTAGAAGCAGTGCTCGGCCTCATGCTCATGTTGAGCGACGTCTCTCGCTGCAATGCGGGACTCGCGATCCGTGCCGGAAACGAGTTTGTCGGCTGTATAGAGTGCTGAGGAGCTTGGCCCGGCGCATAAGGTTGATAGTCGTCCTGTGTCTGGCCTCTGCCGGCATACGCATCATGACCCGCGCTGGACTCTCGGAGAGTCGGCTTCCTGGCAATCTTGAACGGCGTCGGGGCATCACCGCTCTGTTCCTGGGTTGGGCTGTAAGCCTCGTTCTGCTGTTGTTGCTGTCGTCGTCGCAGCTCCATCTGCAATTCCTCCTCTTCCCTCCTCTTGCGCTCCTCCTGCCTCTGCTTGACCTCACGCTGACGCTCCTCCTGCTGCCGCCTGACTTCTTGTCTCCGCAGCTCCAGCTTCTGCTCCTCCGTCAATCTCTCACCCTCCTCCGGCGATGTCTCCTCCGCTGGCAACTCGACAAAGCCAGGTCGCGGCTCAATTTCAATCGGCGCCATCACATAAGTGCCCGCCAGCTCAATAGGGTCCGGATGTATCTCCGCACGAGCGGCTGCTGTGTGTTCCGTCGGCATCTCGGGCACCGTCCCGACGGGATCAAACTGCAGGTGCATGGGAACGGCCGTCTCAGCCGGCAGCTCGAACATGTCGTAGCTGTAGCCTCCCTCAATCGGCGCGCTCGCCTCTCCCACAATGTCATCTCCCACGATAGATTCCTGCGGCAACACCACCGCTGCCGGGTCATGGTGCTGTATTGTAGGCGGCGGCGGCTCAACAGCTGGTTCGTCCACGGCCGTCGTAGGACCACGAGCAACCGCCTCGCTTGTCTGGACCATCGGCGTCGTGTTCTGGCTCACCAGGGGACTCACACCTCTGTTGTCTGTCTGCCGGTCTGCCGTCCTACCCTCGCCTCCCACCACCGTCCTCCTTGCCGCCTCCTCCTCCTCTTCCACCAGCGGGCTGACATCCGTATACGTCCCCGGCCCCAGAAACATAAAGTTCTCCGGCTGAAAGACGCCCTCCTCATCCTCCGGCTCCGGCTCCTGCGCCCGGACGTCCTCGTCCCTCCCGAAATCATCGTCCCAGACCGCGCTCACGGGCCGCGCCGTCGCCGACATGCGCGCCCTCCAGCCGTCGGTAATCCCGCCGCCGACGCTGGCATGCCGCTTGACCTGCTGCTGCGACTCGAGGCGCTCCTCGGGCGCGAGATCCGGCGCCGGCGACGAGGCGTCAATGTAGTCGGGGAACTCGTCGCCCGCTTTGGGGAAGTGATACTGGACGTGGCCGGTCGGCTTGTAGCGGTAGAGCCATCGGCTGCCGTCGTAGTCCCACTCCCAGCCGGCGGGGAGGGTGGCCATGATCAGGCAGGGCTGCTCTGCTGCTGCTGCTGCTTCTTCTTCAATCCAGCGAGCGACGAAACGCAGAAGCCGCCTCTATTGCCAGCCCGTATCATGAAGTGGAAATCGTAGAAGAGGAGGAGAATCAGTGTCTCGGTAAAGCGTCGTGCTTGGAAGCGGGTCGTTATTTTCGCTCAGCCGCACCGCTGTCGCATCGTCGTAGGAGTGTCGTCCACAATATGCATGGGAAGCGCTTGTACGATTCGATCGCCAAATACCTAGCTCGAGAAGGCCAGAGAAACAGACCAGAGAGCAAGTATTCAAAATCTCTCGCAGGAAGGGGATTGTTTATAAAAAATCGGAGCATGAAGGACGAGACACTCAGACAAAACAATCAGACAAGACAATCCAACAAGAACAGAAAAAGGACAACAGCTCGCTCTGTCAAGGGTTCAAAGGGGAAAAGAAAAAGAGATAAAAATAAACATGGAAAGCTGACAAGACAGCTGATGATCCCGCTCCCTTTGGTAGGAGCTTGAAGTGCTGCTACTACAGTACCTCCCTAGTATACATGTAGTAGTCTTGACACCCAAGCCACTGCGGCTGGGGCTTGATACTGGGCTATTGGCTGCCGGGCGGGGAGACTCCAGATCTAATGGACGCCGTTGGGCGCACTTTGGGCGAGAGACAAGCTGGCCTTCAGTCAGCTGCTCCTTGAACCAGGGAGGTTTATTCCTGCAGGAGGCGGCCTGTATGGAATGTGCATTCTTGATCTGTCGTCCGTGTCATTCTTGCGCTAGTATTACGATGCTCTGCTTTGTTCACATGTCCGCAAATTAGTACGATGTTGTTGGCATGTTTCGTGGTCTACAGTATCGTTGTATAAGGCGTCACTCCAGCCAACTACTCAACTGACTACCTACCTTACATGGGTCAGCAGCATTGACACACCAGCCACTGTCATCTTCATCATCATCTTCATCATCATCATCACCATCATCATGCCCCCAACGTAACGTTGTAACATCTCCTTTCTTTCGGCAGAAGTGGGTATTGCATTTCATACAGTCTATTCTAGTATGCATGTCATCCTAATCATTATATGATTGCGGCATATTTCGCTGCCTTCATCCGTCACTCATACCCAACGAGCATCACGATATGCCTAGTCCAAATCATACCTGCGCCACCAGCATCCCAACCCACGAACTGACCATGGGAGTTGTGATATCCTGCAATGCTAAGCTTGCTTAAATGAAGATGAAAGAAAGAGGAAGAAAAAGAAGAAGAAGAAAAAGACGAAGAAAGGTATTAGAGCGAATCGCTTATGAAAGAATCATCCAATGCCAAATGCGTCAGGTTTGATTCCAGCAAACCATTCAATCTATGCTCTTGCTCCATGGAGAAAGGGGATATCATGAGAAAGTGGAGGGGAACGAGGACTTGTCGTCAGCTTCGTGGATGTGAATCAGACCATGTCCCTGCTCTGGGCGCTCCTCGTTCCACTTCGTGCGCGTCCAAAGATGCGAGATCGCGACTGCGCCTGAGAGTCGGCCGACGTGACCGGGGCTAATCCTGTGCTAGACGCACGAGCAGCAGCTTCTTCCTCCTCCTGGAGCCCCCTCTCCTTCTCTCGAATGCTGGCCATTCTCTGCATGAGGACGTGCTCCCGTCGCTTCTCAAACACGTCTTGGAACCCACCCGTGACAGGCTCCTGATTCGGCACGCTGCGGACACTGCGCGTGCTAGAGGTGGCTCGAGGACGGCCCTGAGGCGTAGCATCGTTGTTGCCATTGTTTGCGGCCGGTGCGGGCAGATTTGCCCAGTACATAGGATGCTCGCGGCTGCCACCAGGATCGACCCGCAGCGGCGCCTCAATGCCCACCTGAACCATTTGATACATGAGTTCCGTGACAAACTTGTTGTGCCGGTTCAGTCGAAGAAGCTCGTTTTGGAAGCTGCTCTTGTGGAAGAAGACCATGTTCATGGTGCATGATCGTACTTGGTTGAAGCCCGTCATTTCGGTGATGATGCTCGGCTGGTAGTCCCGCTTGTTGTTCTTGACAAATTCCAGCATCCTGGCCTTGAGATCGTCAATCATGTGAGCCGGCGTGCCGAATCGCATCTCGAGAGGGATGACATCCGATAGACCGTTGGAACGCCGCTGATTGAGGATGAAGAGGGTGTTGAGAAGGGAGTTTGGTGCCTGAACTATGTGGCCCTGCATCTTCTTGAATTCGGTATAGAGCAGGGAAATCTCCGTGACATAATAGTCGTCGCCCGTCAGTGTCGCTCCCGTGTTGCCGTAAATGGTGACCCGGTCGCCCACATCGAACGGATGCTTGATAAACACAAAGATGATGGACTGCAGGAACTCCTGGGCCGTCGCCTGCAGCATCCATGCTAGGCCGAGGATTGAAGAGCCCGCGGACGCAAGGCCGGCGGCTGTCGAATCGGAGAAGATGGCGACAAAGACGATGACGGCGATGGCAACAATGAGGAAAAGGAATACCTTGTCGAGCTTCTTGATCACGGAATCGAGGTCCTTGAGAGATGCGGCGATAGCTTTCTTCTCCAGATGGATCTCGTTGCACACAGCTTCGAACTCGTCCATGGAAATGTCGCCGTTGAGGTCCTTGTCGAACATGCTGAAGGCCGCCTCAGCCTCCTCCATGCTCTCAAAGGCCACCTGCAGGTCCTCAAGATGCACCGTTTCGCGGCCCTCGCGCACCACGCTACGGTAGATGAGCCGTGCAAGGGTGTGCGCCGACGCAGTGTTCCGCAGCAGCTCGGCCACGATCTTTCGAGGATGGTTGTTGTCAGCCCCTTTCCGGCCCAGGATATCATTGCCAACTCGGTTCGCGACATGGCCAACCTTGCCCAGCACATGCAGGGCGTTGTTGTGCAAAGCCCTCATGGGCGTCTGCAAGCCGCTGCCAGAGGCATTTCCACCGCTGCCCTTCCAGAAGGTGTCGGTGCTTTCAAGCCGTTTCTTTGCATACTCAAAGAGGCACACCAGCTGGCGAATGTCTGCCTTGTTGTTTTCGATGCGGGTGGCATACGTGCGCTGATGAAAGCTTTGGGCGATCCACTGAATGAGAATCTTTTCCACAAAGTTGAGAGTCGCCAGCACGAACAGCGAGATGATGACTTTGTTGACGACGCTGATCCAGTGTATGTGGACTTTTCCCGACTCGCCGTCCGGGACGGGCGCGCGATGGCTGTCCATGGTCGGCTTGAAGGAGATGAGGATGGCCAGAAACCACAGGAACATGGCCGTGTGAAGCTCGAGACGCTGTCCAATGTCCCGCCACTTGGGGGCATTGGTCGACCCGACCATTCGAGCGACAGCGTGGAATATCGGCGGCATCAGATTCGTAATCATGCGCGTCACCCAGAGTGAACACCACACAATCTCCAGCCAGATGCCAAACCACATCACGTAGACGCCGCCCGTGCCACCCACGGCGTGCTCGGTGCCATTGAATCTATACGTGCCGAGCAAGACAGGGGCGAGGAGTAGGGCGGCGCCCGGGATGAGGTAGATGATGTACCGAAAGAATCGCGGAAACTTGCTGATGAAGAGCCACAACTTGTAGAGAGCGGCATCCGTGTTCTTCCTCTGGATGGGCACCGGTTCCGCGTTGTGCTGGTTGAAAGCATCCTCAGGCTCGGGACTGTGATGCCTATTCCTCGTCCGGGCCCTGGACGCTTGGTCGTGCTCTTGGTTAGAGACCAGACGCTCAGCGCGAAGCAACTCAAGGTCGTCGTTGAGACGGTTAGCCTCCGCCCGCTGATTAGTCGGGGTCACGCCGCCATTAGAGTCGTGAGTAGGGGCCAGGGTGTTGAGGGTGTTGAAGGTATCGAGCGTCGGCGCCTCGTACTTTTCGTCGTACCGCTCCACCCCGTCGGCGTCATCCGTCTCGCCATATTGCTCCTCGATCCGCGCCATGTGGTGCTCTTCCATCCGATCCATGTGGTGCTCGTCACTGCGGTCTGTCTCTGACGATACACGGCGCGGGTAAGAAGATGGGGGAGGGCCCGCAGGAGCATGAGAAGCCGGAGGAGGAGAAGAGGCTGGAGGGGGAGAAGAAGCTGGAGGAGGAGCAGCTGGAGAAGCTCCAGGTAACGGCTCTCCAGCCATGGTGAAAGGGTGGGTGACGGAATGGAACGAACTGTCCCGCAGTTGTTGGAGGCGTCAATGGCAGCTGGCTCGGGCTCGGGCTAGAACAATAAGGGCGGTGGGTAAAATATGGGAAGAAGGGGACGCCGTCGACGGCGGTTGATGTATATAATAGAATGAGCGAGCAGATCAGGCGCCAGCAACAGAAACTGTAGACGATGGGTAGGTATCTATCTGGGTATCGAGAAGGGTATATGGGTATCGGATATGGCTTGATGTGCGTGCTAATCGCGATACTTGGAATAATAATAGCTGCCTGACATCGGATCCAGCGGGAGGCTCTCCGCAAGCCAGCGCTGGCTCTAGAGCGATAAAGTAGCTGCAGCCGCCGATGCTGGAGATGCCAGGGACGTGGACCAAACCAGACGCAGGCTCAGGGTTCAGGTTCAGCGGGCTGCCGAGACGATCGGCGTGGTGTTTGTTGGCCCGAGTGACGGCGCTGTGGGCCGAGTGACGAAACGATGCCGTTTGCTGGGTCCTCGAGCCCTGGAGGAGAGGCAGGGGAAAAAAGGAATGAGCAGCTGGGAAATCGAGAGACAGCAGGTCAAGAACAAGCTTGTTATTAGGAAACGAGACGGGCCAGAGCGGGAATCCACTTGTTTTAAACAGCAAATCCCGAGACAGGAAAGGGATCGTATGTGCATATCGAAGGCATCAACTGATTGAAGTTTTTTTTTTCCCTTATCCCTCCTGTTAGCCAGCACTACGGACACGACTAATGCAACTTGGAAAAAAATCGGCCCCCGTCGCGATGTCGCCCGTTCTGGAGTCGCTATCATGCCCGTTTTGTTCCCCCCTGTGGCGCCTGGTGGCGTCTAGTGCCTCTGCAGCGCCTTCAGGGCCGTCCTGCAGCCACCGATTCCCTCCATCTGGTGCCCTCCCAGCAGCGTCAATTGGCTCTGTATCGACTTCGATTGTTCGCTTCGTCTGCTAGTGCCGCCCAATTCGAGGCGCCACGGAACAGAACAGCTCCGGAGTGCCTGTTGCGGCCTAGCGCCGTTGTCTCTCTGCAGCATGACAGAAGACACTGGAATTCTTTACTCCCACATCACCCAAAACCGCCTCGACCTTTTCCCAACCTTACCCGGCCCTCGACTCGAGAAATCAGCAGGGTCGACAAAGCCCTAGTGGAATTCTCCAGAATCGCCGAGGTCGACGTGGAGCCCGTGGCCCACCGCCTGCTGCAGGATTTCCTTGATTTCCACCCCCTTCAGCTTTTGATCCTACTCGTACCTCTGGTGCTCGACAGGGTTTCTGACGATCGTGGTGGAGCTTCAGGATGCGGGACACGCTGGAGCACGGGGATTCGCATTCACCGATATATCCCAGAGATTGGCTTTCTTGGCTGACTCGATCTGTCGGGGTTTGAGCAGCTTGTGCGAGGATCCTGCTTTCGGGTGCAGGTGGTAGTATCACGGCGGGGACAACGCCGTCCCAGGACATGCAGGTGGCCGCCGTGCAACAAACAGTTGGTTGGCTGATAACGACATGCGCGATGCCCTCATCTCGTACGGACCTTTGACCGCGTCTGCGGATGATCGGCTGCGTGCATACAGGCTAGTACTTGCTACTCAAGCTACCGTATGTAGGGGCGCACACTTGTCTCCGGGACTCCGTCTGCTTGGCCCGCGAGAGATCATCAAAGCATCCATGTCTCCATGCCGCGAGAGACAGCAACCGCTCACATCACCCGCCGCTTCCGCCCTGCCTGGGTCGCACGCTCCATCGCGGAACCACCTGGCACACGCTGCGTCAACGTACAGCCCCAGGGTCTCAGCTCGGCTTGGCCACCGTCCGAACCACCGCCGAGCTCTCACTGTGCTGCCGGCCGCGCCTGTCCCGTCACTGCCCAGTCCGGGCCCGGATCCCTAGACTGTGGGATAGAGGCTGCCCGACATGTTCGCAGGCCCAGCTATGGCTCCGGACCCCGGTGCCAAGATTCATCGGCAGTTCGTCCAGTCACAAATAAATTGTCCGCGGAAGCCATGACGACGTTCCGCAGAGTTATTCGCTATCTGGCCAACAAACCGTTATCACGTCGGCGAATGAGACGATGATGCTGCGGATGATCATTCTGTCGCTGCTTTCTGCCTTCCAGCTGTTCTTTTTTCCTTCCCCCTGGACACGCAAGCAAACTTCTCCGTCTCAGACAGATGACATACTCGGGCCTATCCTTACGGCAGCCAAGCAAGCCTCTCAGCAGACGGCCCTGTTAATACGAGGTCCAGTGGCAAAGACAAGCTTTTCGGTTTGCCCTGCAGGCCCGCTACGAATCGAGATTGCCCATCATGACATACATTCACGCATGCTTGCACGATCAAACAAAACATGGCCGTTTTCTATTTGACCATGAATTTGAGCCTTTGCATGGACTTCACATGCTTGCTTGATGCGCCAAGTTTGGAGGGCTGTTTAGGTGTCCTGGTGTTGTCATCCTGCTTTCTCCCCACCTACCCTGCATATCTTTTCGATCAGAGGATGCTTTTTTTAGAATCCACACGAAATGCTCTGGATAACACCCGCTCGTCTCGGAATTACCTATAGCCGTCATCTTAGTGGCCTATCAGGTCGTGTAATACCTCATGGTCCGGCAGTTCTTGGACCATACCGGGTTGTCAATGCGATCCTCGTCTGTTTGTCGACCAGTTGACTGAGCATGACATGACTTGACAGTTTGCTTTCCATATTGACGGTTCCCCTTTAGACGCCGAGTTTTCAACAAATGCGTCGTACAACTACAATTTACAATCATCACGACTATAAGACCGGATACGGTGTTTCCACTGGCTCAAGAAGTTGATGATGACGATTGACTCTTTTGCTGGAGAAGCCAAAACGAACCTCCTCCGACAGGGTGTTTTCAGCTCCTCGCCAAAACACGCCTCGACCTAGGCTCGCATGTCATTCGCTGTGGAAGCTTCTTGCTCGATGCATACTCGATGTTTGGCACTTCCAACCCAGTCACCACAGACACGTTGCCGAGGTCACAGACCGGACCATGCACGGCCTGTCCCGAAACCTGGCTCTCTTGTATGAGTCCCCCCTGCTATGGACGTGAGCATCCGAGTCCATTCAGGCTGGAACCCATGCTTGCCATGTGAACGTCAACAGTCGCCACATGGCATGCTGATATATCTCTTTTCATTGAGTAACTGTTGGTCCAGCCCCTCTTGGTGCATCGTCACACGCGAGAGATGGATACTCGTACAAGTAATACATGCAGAATCAACAGCGACAGCACCTCGAGCTGAAGCCGGAAATCTCTTCAGCGGTCCGCATCCCCCCACTCTGCGCTACTGCATCGCCTCTCGTGGGCTTCCAGATGGAAGTGTCTGCTCCGGCCACCTTGCAAGGCCTTGTCCGCGATGCACAGCGTCATTTCTCAGGCCAGAACGACAATGCTTGCCAGCACACTGTTCTCGTCTCTTCCCTTGCTGCTCTTTCCCCGATCTAGCCCCCATCTTGATGCAATGACACCATTACCAAAGGGCGGTGCTATATGCGTCTAAATGCGCCTAATTAAGACACCACCACTCTGTCGGTAACGGGACGCACCCTACCGCATTGGAACCTATTCAACCTATGATTTCCAGGTATGAGGATCCATGAGCAACCCGTCAACACATCATACCTGTAGCCTCAGTAAAGTCAATTGGGAGGATACTCGGTGGAAATCAGCTTATGACCCCCAACAAGGCTTCTTTTAGTACTATTTGCTGGCAGGGCCAGCTTAGCAAACGTACGACGCCAGCACCTGTGCCTGAGTCATGTGCTATATCCAGAAGCCAAGAGGGCGCCACGCTTCGACTGAGGCTCCTTTTCGTTGACAACGGCAGACTTGACTCAGTTACCGAGTTTCTCGAGATGGCTGTCAAGTATTTTTTCCTCGTGAGAGTGACGGTATGTGAGCGAGGGACATGAAGTGCCGGACTGTGTAAGTCACTTGCTCAGTGCTGATTCTCAATATAAGATATAATATAGTAGTAGTGTTCTTTCGAATTAGATAAGCTCATGCCGATGCCAAGCGACACCAATTCTCTGGCCGGATGGTTTTCGCCTTCGACAACAAGCCGGATAGCAAAGGGATAACAAGTCGGTGAAGTTGCAACAGCAACGGTCCAACCAAGACCAAGACCACTTTGCTCCGTATAGTAAATTTTTTTCTCAGCTCCAACCCCGCGCGTCCCATCGTGGCACCCAATATGTCCCCTCTTCTACCCCATCTATTCCCCTCATTCTGGCTTCTGGACGGAACACCTCCGCATTCTAGGCGAGTCATATCCCTTGTCAAAGCTGTACATGGACGCTCTTGGCTCCCCCAATTCCACCACATGCGGCATCCGTTCCGAGCCAGCCATGCAGCCAGCGTGAACTATTTGGAGTCTGGGTTCGTTCATCCCTTCCGGATGGGCTCGTGGAAAAAGGCTCATCTGCAGACTGATTGGTGCACGACGTTCTCGGTGGTGGTGACGATGATGCCATGATGCTGTTGCAGACCCGGGGTTGGGAACACAAACACCACAACATGAAGACTCTCCATGCATTGCTGAGTGCCGGACAACCGATCGATTGTTGGACAATTGATTGCACGGGCTTCTCGCGATAAAGCGTGATGCTTTTGGATGATTTGCTGCATGTATCTGGCGAACTCTCACTGCAAGACCTGATCCAAGTACAATTCTGACCGGGCTGTCTGTTGTCCAGATTAAGTCCTCCGTGGCAGAGATTAACTCTCGCCTAGCGGTCCTCGTTAGAACGCGGGGTGCATCCGGAGCCACTAAGCAGCTCCCCCAATCCCCCAAGCCGGGGAAACCGTTAGCGGACGCCGGGGCACCAGACCCCCACGCTTCAGTGAGTGCCGACGCCTGAGCAGCTGGAAGCCGGTGCATCAGCCGGGACCTGAGCCTTGGATCCCGCTTCTAGGTCCTCTTCTCTCTTACGTCGTGCAAGTATCACATCACATACTACATCGATGCCAGCTTGCGTATAAAGGCGCGGGCTCTGCCTCCTCCGGGATCGACCATGAGCATCCTCTACCGCATCCCCCATCAACGACAATAGCCAGCATGCAGGCCCCCGACGACGACAAGCAGCCCGCCGAGGTGCAGCACTCGGAGCACGGCCAAGTGCCGGGCTCGTCTCGACACCCCAAGGCCGACAAGCCCGTCCACAAGGGCGCGGATCGTGCGCTGGCCCTCATTGGCAATGAGAAGGTCGAGGTCTCCGAGGAAGACAACCGTCGGATCGTGCGCAAGACGGATCGGACCATCCTGGCAATCCTGGTCTGGGTTTACTTCCTCCAGATACTGGACAAGAGCGTCCTAGGCTACGGCGCCACGTACGGCCTCAAGACCGACACGCACCTCAGCGGCGGCCAGTACTCCATCATCGGGTCCATCGCCCCCATCGCCCAGCTGGTGTGGCAGCCCTTTTCGTCCTACCTCATCGTCAAGGTGCCTCACCGCATCCTCATGCCCGTCCTCTGCCTGGGATGGGGCATCGCCCAGACCTTGATGGCGACCTGCAACAGCTTCTCGGGGCTCATGGCCACTCGCTTCTTCCTCGGCCTGTTCGAGGCCGGCTGCTTGCCCCTGTTCAGCGTCATCACCAGCCAGTGGTATCGGCGAGCCGAGCAGCCGCTGCGTGTTGCGGCGTGGTACGGCACCAACGGACTTGCTACAATCTTTGCCGCCGCCGTCAGCTTTGGCCTGGGCCGCATCAACTCCGACGTCCTGAAGGAATGGCAAATGTAAGTGCATATGATCAAGAGTTCTGCTGGCGAGTAAAGTCGAGTTTTGACCAACAACAATGTGTACAGCATCTTCCTCTTCGTCGGCCTCCTCACCATCGTCTCCGTCCCGTTTGTCTACTGGAAGCTGGACAACGATATCCCCTCGGCGAGGTTCCTGACTGAGGAGGAGAAGCCAAAGGCCATAGAGCGGCTTCGCGCCAACCAAACCGGTACCGGCAGCCGAGAGTTCAAGTGGGACCACGTCCTGGAGGCTGCTATAGAGCCCAAAACCTATCTCTGGTTCGGCATGGCTCTGCTGCTCAACGTGGGCGCTAGTGTCACCAACTCCTTTGGTCCTCTCATCATCAACGGCCTCGGCTTTGACAAGTACAAGTCCAGCTTGCTAAACATGCCGTTCGGTGCTCTTCAAACAATCGTCATTCTTGTATCCAGCTACTTGGCCCAAAAGGCAAAGCTCAAAGGGGCCATCTTGGCTGGGTTCATGCTGCCGGTGCTTGCCGGACTGGTCATCTTGTATTGCGTTCCACGAGACACGGGAAGCCAGGGAACATCGCTTGCTGGGTACTATCTCCTGGCCTTCCTCTTTGCGGGCAACCCGCTCATCGTCACCTGGATTGTCGGCAACACTGGTGGCACGACGAAGAAGTCCATCATCATGAGCATCTACAACGCCGCCAGCTCCGTCGGCAACATCCTCGGCCCCCTCTTGTTCAACGACAGAGACGCACCCGAATACAAGCCCGGCCTTCGTTCCTGCCTGGCCGTGTTTGCAGCTTTGATTGGTGTCATTCTGCTTCAGTGGGCCAATCTCGTGGTGCTGAACAAGATGCAAGCCAAGACGCGCGTGCGCAATGGAAAGAAGGCGGAAGTCATTGATCACTCTATGCAGGACCACTACCACTCAGCCAGAAGTGATGGTGTGCTTCAGGATGCTGAGAGCGGCGACGCAGCAGACGACCAAACTGGACAAAACGCTTTCTTGGATCTCACGGACCGCAAGAACGACGAGTTCGTGTACATCTATTGATGAGACAATAGAGGCTTGGGGCCCTCGAAGGCGAAAGCAGCCATGCTGTCTTCCTAGTATCAAGAATCATTCAATTTTAGCGTTACTGTTATTCTTAATATTACAATTTCAATTACTGCCAGGAAACCGTTGCAAGCAAACGGAACCGTACTGCATTTCTTGTCCGATATGATGAGCTGAGACCTATCCAATTTCTATCTGCACCCATTACCATTCTATACTATTATACACGTTGGCCAGACTAATTCCAACCGCTTCACGATTTGCTAAACACACCCTGAGGGCTTGCAAACTTGGCCACGAGAATGATGAAGCCACCAAACAGGCACATGGCGCCGCTGAACACAGTAGCCTCAAAGAATCCCGCATAATGGGCCACAAACGCACCGTCGATAGGAGGCCCGATCAGAGCTCCAACAGCTCCAAAGCCCAACCCCATGCCAGTGTAAGTACCGATATCGCGCGGGTCAGGGGCACAACCCGTAATGGACACCGCCGCCCCGGACACGATGGTGCCAGAGGCGAAGCCAAACACGGCAGAATAGACAATGATGGCCGCGTTGGACGTGGTCGAGTCCATGCAGAAGATGACGACGCTGGTGACGACGGATCCGGCGGCGTAAATGTTGAGTCTGCCGTATTTGTCCGCCAGCACGCCCGGGATGATGCGACCAAATGTCGACGCGGCGTTGAGAATGGCGGGCAAGTATCCGGCAAGGGTTGCGTCCATGCCTCTCCCCACGGCATACGTCGGGAGGAAGATGACGGGCATGAACATGCCGATGAAGACGAAGAAGGTCGAAAGAATGAGAAAGTCATATCTCACGTCCCGAAAGGCCGAAGCGATCCAGAAGTTTGTCGTCCTCGGCGGCAGACGCGGCCGGACGACGACGAGAGAGAAAGCCATAAAGGGCAGCATGAGGAAGCCAATGATGCGCACCGTCCAGCCGAAGCCGAGAGACGTGCTGTTGAGCATCTTGGACACGGCAATGGGCATGACGATGCCGCCGATGGAGGAGCCCGAGATGGCGACCCCGAGGGCGGCGGCGCGCTTCTTGTCAAAGTACTGGGAGACGCTGGCCATGGCGGGGAACTGGAGAAAGGCCATGGCGAAGCCCATGAGGACGCCTTGGACGAGCATGATTTGCCAGTATGTTTTGCAGAGGCTGAGGATCATGACGGCGACGACGTAGAGGATGGCGGATGGGTAGATGACCTGCTCCCGGATCAGCCATGGGCAAAGAAAAAAAGAAAAAGGGTTCTAGAGGTACGTTTGTGGTTGGAAAGAAGAAGAAGAAGACTTACAAGAGAGCCATAACGATCAAACAGAGGACCTCCGACCATGCCTATGAAGAACTGCAGAAACGCAGACAGGGAGCCGATCCAGGCGACATCGTCCGGAGAGTGGTCTCGAAGCTGGTGGCTCAGATAGTACTCGGTAAAGGTACCAAAGGAGTTGGAGAAGCCCAGGCAGCAGAAGAAGATGGAGGCGGCTCCGAAGGCGACGAGCCATGCCCTGAGGCCACCGTCGGGTGCCGGCTCCAGCTCCGTCTCGGACAGGGGCTGGCCTTGTGCAGAGCTGGGCTCGTCGTCTGCGGACAGAGATTTCTTTTCGTCTGATGGAGTGGATGACATGGTAGACGGCTGGTTGACTCAAGGCCTTGATCGTTCCTGAGAGAGATGCGATTGATAATTCAGGTGTGATCGATACACTCGGAAACACTCATCTTTATAACAGACAGAATGCTCTTGGAGAATCCACTTTCTAAAGCCCCGAGAGAATCCACTCGGCATGACTTCGTGGCATAAAAACCATCTCATTCTAATCCACATCTCGGAGAAGGATCTCACGATTCCACTGCAAAAGGATTCTCCTTGCCCTCGCATTTGCAAGTCAAGATCTCGTGTAAGTCGGGCTTTTGCCTAATCAGGAAAGATGGAGAAAAAGACGAACACCGAGTCCGACCGATTGATAAGCCGCTGGGTTTATCAATCAAAAGCCCGGTCCGGGTCGGATATAAGGCCCATTTGGGAAAATGCCCGAACGACCATGAGAACGACGAGGCGTCACTCCGGGCTTCGACCTTTTCATCTCGACCCTTGAAACTTACATGAGCCTTGACTTGCAGTTGATGTGGAGATTGCCATCTCAACTCTTCCGTCACTCTCAAAAAAAGGGCACTGTTATCGTCACAATGAATCAGGCACCCAAGACGCTGGTCGTCCGAGGAGAGCGGCGACGACGCAGACCGGCAATGTGAGCCAGAACATCAACTCGAAGCATCTCTCATCTAACGACTTATGAACAAAGATCATGCGCCCTGTGCAGGAAGCGCAAGCTGAGGTGCAACCGGGAACGGCCCTGCAGCAACTGCATCCGCTCCAAAACCGAGACCTGCGTCTATGAGACCCATCAGTTGGGAGACCAGCCCGGACCATCGCCCGCGCAGAGCCAAGTCGGCGTCTTCTTCCTCGACTCTCAGGCTCAGACTCAGGCTCAGAGCTCTAGTCCAAGCGACGCGCTGAAAGCATCAAGCACCAGCTTGAATCCGTCATCTAGGAACCCCATCAGCCCGTTGACGCCCAAAAGCCAGGATGAGTCGATTGCCAACGTGAGCTTGTCTGGGACAAGCAATGCTGGCCCTTCGAATTGCAATCCATCCCAAGTGGTGACTGAGCCTCTGCAGAGGTCTAATGACGCAAGTCCCGACTCGGATTTCCTTGCTAGGGCGTCTCACATCACTGGAGGCGCCATTCATTTCCATCGTGAGAACAACCCAGTGGACTCAGCGAGTCCCAGCCTGATACGGAGTGTCACACACAAGAAGCGCTTCTTTGGACAGACTCATTGGATCAATGTCTTTCAAATGGTACGCACATCATTTTGCCCTTGCAGAGCCTTGGATGAGTGTAGGCTAAGAACACCGCTGACATCAACCTCCAGTTCAAAGGCATGTTTGTGATGAATGAGATACACAATCTGGAGACCAAATCCAACGTGTACCCGCTGCTCCTCAAATGCAAATCCCTCGGAAGGATCATCAAGGCCAATAGAACTCCCGCCTGGCCGACAATCCCAACAAGAGAGCTCCCCGAAAAGGAGGTTTGCGACAAGCTCATTGACTGCTACCTCGAGACAACTGAGAGTGTCTACAGAATCCTGCATCTCCCGACCTTCAAGAGGGACTACGAAGAGCTATGGGAGCCCGGAGCCTATCCAGACATGGCATTCATCGTCCTGGTCAAGCTAGTACTAGCCATGGGCGCAATGTCGTACGACGATGAATTCTCCTTGCGGCCCCTGGCGATCCGGTGGGTGTACGAAGCGCAGACGTGGGCAGCAGAACCCGAGTTCAAGGCTCGCCTGGGCATCCAATTCATTCAGACGCAGATCCTCCTCCTGCTTGCGCGGGAGCACGTCGGCGTCTCTGGCGACTCCGTCTGGGTGACTGCGGGCGAGCTGGTCAGGAGGGCCATGCACATGGGCCTGCATCGCGATCCGCACCACCTGCCCAAGCGGTCCCTCTTTGCAACCGAGATGCATCGGAGACTATGGAACACGATCATCGAGATGCTCCTGAGATCGAGCCTGACGTCTGGCGGCCCTCCGCTCATTTCCCTCGACGACTTTGACACGGAGCCTCCGGGCAATTTCGACGACGAGCAGCTCATGACTGAAGGCGCAGTCCAGAAGCCCGACAACGAATACACCAGCATGTCCATCGCAATCGCTCTACGACGCACCATCTCCGCTCGACTCACCGTCCTTCGCTTCCTCAACGACCTCAACTCATGCGGGACATACGAGCGGACCCTCGAACTCGACGCCGAACTCCGCTCAGCCTACAAAACCCTCTGCCAGACCCTCACGAGATTCAAGTCCCCTCCCGGCCAGGCATCCGTCCCCTCCGCGCTCGCCCTACGCATCGTCGACTTCGTCATGCAGCGATACATATCCGCCCTCCACACGCCCTACCTCATCCCCGCCCTCCGCCAAACCAAGTACGCCGTCTCCCGCAAGCTCGCCATCGAAGCCGCCCTCAAGACCTGGTCCGCCGTCTACCCTTCCTCGGCCATCATGGCGCCGCATCACCGCCGGGAAGACGACGCATCCGCGTTCCTCAACGGAGATGCCCTCTCGCGGCTTGCGTGCTGCGGGCCGGGCTTCTTCAGAATCGCCTCGCTGCAGGCGAGCTTGCTCATCTCCGCTGAGCTGGACAACCAGCTCAGAGAAGAGCAAGGGCTGGTGCCTTTGCCCTTTCGCGCAGATCTCATGTCCGTCATCCACGAGGCCAAGGAGTGGTGCCTTCGCTCCATCGAGGTGGGCGAGACCAACGTCAAGGGCTACCTCGTCAGCTCTGTCATACTCGCTCACCTAGAGGGCCTCATGCGCGGCCTCGATCCTCACGAACTACCCCCTTTGTTTCTCAAGGCTGCGGAGGAGTCGGTAGAGAAGAGCCTTGAGATATTGGAAGAGAAGGCCGGGCTGGGTCATGGGCAGGGTCGAGCGGTGGATGCTAGGGAGGAGATGGATATGGTGGGGATACGGCCACAGAGCCCCGATTGGGATTTCCTGGTAAGTTTTAAATATGGTCTATATCTTGTGGGTGTTATGATTGTGATGTAGCGTTGCTAACCTCGTCTTTTGCCGATTGGTTCACAGGTCTCGGATGCTTTATTTGCTTATAATGCTGGGATGGTAGAGCCCATGAACTGGATGTTTAGCGAAAACGTCCGATAAACGCCTATTGACTGACACTATATAGCCCATAGATAACTTTGTCACGATCAATAAAATTCTCAACTCTTATGATGTATATCAGTTACTATACATAAAACGAGCCATAGACGAAGATGCTAAACCAGATCCCTCTCGATTTCTCTTGTCATGATGGCCGCAAAGACCGTATGTAGCATTCTAGGGCAGAAATCGTCAACAACACAAATGGGCGGATGGTTTAGTGGTATAATTTTCCCTTAGCATCTTGCAACCTGGGAAAGGTCCGGGGTTCGATTCCCCGTTCGTCCAGTTGTTTTTCTTTTTGCACTTTTTCTCGATTATCTTATCCTTTTTTTTTTTTTTTAAACAAAACTCTCCTTTGTCTGTAGGAATTGTTTATGCCCCCTCTCTCCTATCTCCTCTTGCCTCTTCTTGCTTTTTACCTGTCATTCTAATACTCAAAGAACCTCCCGCAGCACCGGGTTTGTTGAGACAAGTCAGAACAGCGGAAGCTTCCTACAGACTACCTATCCCGCTGCTGAGATAAGCAAGTCTCATGGCCGTGAATCGCTCATACTTTGTACGGCATCACGAGTCTGCAGTAGAGCAACTCGACCCATTTTGCCATGTGTCTCGTATCATGTTATACCTGTATAGAGTAGAGCCTCGGACCTCATTGTTGCTCTGAAGGGGCAGACGACCCCTCACCGCTTCACGTCCATTCATTGCTCTGGAAACTGATCGTTCAGCAGTGTCAACAAGTTGGGACGCCTCGTCTAGCGCGAGCTTTGTCTCGATCCAGTTTCATGCCCCTATCGCGGAGTGTCTCTAGTATACATCGTTCATGTCCAACTCGGTTCGAGGTACGGAGTGTACGGTTTGAGTGAGCGAATTGCTGTAGATATGGCGACTCATGAGTCTTATTCTGCGTGTCCATGCAGGGTCTTGCGGAGCTAGTAGAAGACACACGTTGCTGAACCATGCTATGTACTCCTTTGGAGCCGGAGTTGTAGAACGAGAGCTCAGTTGTAAGTGCAATCAAGCCGAGCAAGAAAGGGTTCCTTGGGGGTTCGGACGAACTCTCAAGTCATTACGGCCTGGGTCCGTTGTTGGTACATACCGCAATTCTAACGAAGAGGACTCTTTCCGATAACAGCATTGGAAAAGTCCGCGTACCTGGCTGAAAGCTTTCGTAGACGGTTACCTACTCAACCTGCCCAGTGCATGTTCCTCGTCCTTCGGGGTCCCTTCATTGACAAGGATCCCGCGGAACAGGATGGTGGGGGAGGCGCAATGGCGGGGTGCTCGGGAAAAGCCTCCAAAAAGCTTGACCAGCCATAGCTCCGACCCAGCCAGGATGCCAGTCTAGCATCATTGAATCGATAGCCATTCGTATGTGTGCCCGCCTCTGCTCGTATGTATGCACCTGAAGTCATGCCACATTCAGCTGCTCAGGGATTACAGCATAAATCAAGCCAGGGCAGACACCCCCCTTGTGTCAATGGCCCTCGTCGGAGAATCTGTAGAGTGAGAAATGATGGCGCCTCTGGCCCCCCCTCCAACTCCGTCCTTCCCATGCGCCACTTTGAGAGGATATGACGTTCGCAATGCTCAAAATCAGGGGGAACAAGGACGGGTGGCCTCACGGCCTGTGAGCCATGGCCTGGGCCACAAAGGTGCCGAGCTTCTCCACGATTAGGGGGTGCTTGCCATGCAACTGTGTCCAGCCGGGCCTGCTTGCCAGCATCCAGCTGCTCTCTTGCGTGGGGACCCTTGGACCCCGTTTGCCACACTACGTATGTGCTGAGAGCCACCAATCGCGTTATCATAGTAGCTCTGGAGCTGTTGCGAGTCCGGATCATCAAGATGTGCGCAGGCTGGAGGGCGTCAGCGTGTCCACGCATGAAGCTCGCCCACGCCCCTTTCTCCACGCTGCTACGCCATCGAAACTTGCCAGAATAGCAACGCAGTAGCTTCGGGGGCGTACGAGTAGCTGTATGTATGTATGCGTGGCCAAGGGGCAGGTGGCTGTTTCGTAGATCACCGGGTGTCCTGAGAGGGTGAGGCCTCTAACCCCTCTTGAGGAGCGTGGCAGCTTGAAGCTTATAAATAGCCCTTTGTTCTCCCTCAGAAACCTTCCTCTTCTTCTCCCCTTCAAGCAAACACTCCTCACACAAACCACACACAACACTCAACTTCTCTTCATATTCACAATGGGTTGGTTCGACGGTACGTTGAGCTCTCCGGGAACGCCCATGATGTCATGTCCTAACAGTGATGCCAGACGACTCCGAGCAGGCTCAGGCCTACCAGCAGGTTACCGAGCGACCTCACGAAGCCCAGTGGTCTCACGAGCTCATCGGAGGTGCTGCCGCTTATGAGGCTGCCAAGGCCTACGAGGACCACGTTGCCGAGAACGGTAAGAAAAGCCTTCCGTTGACCTTTTGCCTCAACGATTCAGAATCTGACCTCCACTGCTTAGGCCACCCCGACGACCACGCCAAGGCCAAGGAGATCCTCGCCGGTGTCATTGGTGCCTTCGTCGACCGCGAGGTTGAGACCAAGGGCCTTGACTTCATCGATCGTGAGAGGGCCAAGCGCCATGCACAGGAGCAGGCCGAGGCACAGCTCAGCAACCAGTACGGAGACCGATGGTAAATACAGTCAGATAGAATAAAATCAAAAATATCGACGGTATTGTTCGAAGCCAATCGTTTTCATCGACACGTGTCTTGCTGCGGGGTTGTGAGAACCCCTCCATGAAGCTCTCCCATAATGCTCGTACTCGTAAGCATTGGTGTGTCCGTGAGTCGGCAAGATGATGCTATCTGCTGCACCTGTCTCGCAACTGGCCAGCTAGGGGGGCTCGTCAGCCAAGTTCCAGTCGCAGCGGAGAGGTACGTATCTGGCCATGGAGTGTGCCTGGTCGGTTGCGTGAATTGTGATTCAAGTTCTGTTGTAAACCAATCTCATCAGCCCCTGGGTCCCGGTGACGCTGGTGGTTGGCCAGCCGGAAGACGATTGCCGATTAGCTCCAAGACCATGCCGGCCGCTGCATGTAGAGTGGCTGAGAAAGCTTGCTTGCTGAAGAAAAGCTGGGCCAGGACCAGCTGGTGGATGAAACGCTCGAGCATTTGCAGCAGGAAAAGGGTCTCTCCATGCAGTCTTTAGCGGGGGTGCGTCGACCTGAGCCACAGCAGGTGGGCCGAGCCAGGCCTGCGAGCTTGCCGTGTATCCGGAGGAGCGCTGCGGAGGCACAGGCGAGGCACACCGCGTCTTGTCGAGAGCTCAGCGATGGTCGACAATCTGGTCTTTTCTGGGCCATAGTCGCGCCAGGCGCCGCAGCTAAGGTGGCCGGCTGGCATTGTTGGAGAGACGCTAATGGGAATAGCACTGGGCGAAAGAGGCCTCAGCTGTTCTGTGTTGTCACTGCCATTTGGTTTTGAGAGTCGTTCACGATAATCAGAAGACAAGGAACGCCTCTGAAGTTGACTGATACTGTTTGAGAGATGTTCAATCGCAGTTGTAGTTTGGAGATGATTGCTGTGCACCGGTGAGCCATGGCAGAAAGTCGCGCTCGCGGACTATCGTAAGTTCCGAAGGTCGGCGGTACGTGTGCTTCGTACCTACCTCTTTTGCCTCTATCGCTGGCCCTCATGCATGCATCGCGTCTATGACGATGAGACTACAGCTGGAGGCGGCGAATCATAGTGTAATAATGTCCCGTGTGTTCAATATTTAAGCTTATCCAGTCACTGGAGTCACAGTTTAAGCCTGAATAAAGGTAGAGAACAGGATGGAATGACGTCGAGATGCCTCTGGCAATCAACACCCGGTAGCTACCGTGATGTACTTAAGTTGGTTTCTTTAATATATCACCGAATCTCCTATGCCCTCTGTTAAAAATTATCCAAAGAATGGACAACCGGAGGCAATATTACACAATGGAGCTCTGCATCACCAGGAACTATATTCGTACAAACCGCTCTCAACGCACGCGTTTATATTGACTTGCTTCCTATTCTACGTACAGCATGCAAAAACTGGCTCAGACATCAAGTTGACCTCCACCAGAACACCATCACATTTCACCCCAATAACCATCCATGTCTATACGGCAATAGTAAAAAAGAAAGCTCCGTGACTTGCACATCTAAGCCAGCTTGATGCTCCAGTCATCCCCAACACGGGCCTTCACATGGGTCACAGTTGCAAATGCAGCCCTGTCCTTGTCGGCGGCGTGGTAGACCACCTGGGCAGCCCAGGCGCGTCCGTCTGATTCGATCTGCACCGCTTCTCGGTCCCATGAAGCAGGAGCGCCAACGATGATGATCTTGTCGATGTGGACATTCTGCATAGCCTTGAGCCACTTGCCGGGCTTGATCTTTCGAGTGTCTCGGCCTTCAGCATCGACTGAAGAAAGGACATCGTCCTTTAGGCTGAACTGGCGATGAATGTATTGACCATCCTGGTACTCGTAGCTATCGCCATCGTCCACGTACAGCTCTCCTTCGGCCTGGCCATCCTTGGAGACGGAGACGACAAGGGTATAGGGGTCGAAACGCATGAGAGAGCTCGAGCGGCGGGGAATATCGCGGCGAGGAATGATGTGGCCTCCTCGCATCAGGATAGGGATTCGGTCAATGGGGGCGTCAAATGTGACGTGCTTGCCCTGCTCGGTCTTCGCCACGTTGTACGTGTCGTATTCGTAGTAGACCTCGTCATCCGGAATCCAGATGTCAGCGCTGTACTTGTCTTTCTCTGCAACGGGCTTAACGAGCAAGCCAGTAGATGCCAGGAAGAACTGGTCATCAATCGCCAAGCCTCCCTCGGCAGACGGATGCGTCCAAAACATGGGGCGGAGGATAGGGCTACCATCTCGGTTCGCGTGGAAGAAGGCAGTGTACCAAGCGGGCAAGAGAGAGTATCGCAGCCGCAGCGCTGCAGTAACAATGGCAGTGTAAGGCTCGCCAAGCAGGTATGGTTCGCGGCGACGGGTGTCAATGTGAGCATGGGCGCGGAAGAATGGATAGAATGCAGCCGTCTGGTACCAACGGGCAAGCAGGTCCTTCTCAGGGTCTCCAAAGAACCCTGCGACGTCAGCGCCCGAGAACGGGAAACCAGAGATACCCTGGTTGATGAGCATGGTGACGGAAGTCTGCAGGTGGCCCCAGTCCGCCAGGTTGTCACCGGTCCACATAGCACCGAAGCGCTGGGATCCGGAGAAGAACGCTCGGGTCAGCACAAACGGACGTCGGTACTCGCCCTTCTTGCGGCTCTTCAGAGCTTCAAAGGTAGAGTGATGATACGTCATTCCGTTCAGGTTGTGGACATCTCGGTGCTCCCAGTTGTCCCAGTGGAGATTGTCCTTGGGCATGGTAGTCTCTGGCCCTTCAAAGACGGAAGGTTCGTTCATGTCGTTCCAGATAAAGGTGTTCTCCATTGTTCCCTTGAACTGATCGTATTTGTACAGACCCTTCCACCACTCACGGGCCTTGGGGTTGAAGCAGTCGATCCAGTTGGAATTGCCTGGCCAGCACGAGCCTTCGTATGCCTTGCCGTCCTTGTCATGAATGGCGAGGTCAAGAGCCAGGAGTTGCTCATTGATAGGATAGTTATCAACCCTCTTGATGTGAGGATCAATGATTGTCACCAGTTTTCTGCCGTGGCTGTCCAACTGTTTACCCATGGTGATGGGGTCGGTGAATGAGTGAGGATCCCAGGTGAAGTACTTGATCTCATCGGTGTATTCGATATCCAGCCAGATGACGTCGTACGGGATATGAGCCTTGTCAAACCTCCGATCAACGTCCTTGACGTCGTCTTCGGAGAAGTAATTCCATCGGCACTGGTGGTAGCCGAGGGCAAACTCTTGAGGCATAGCGGTTGTTCCCGTCAGCTCGCCATACTTCTTCGTAATGTCCTGGGGCGTGGGGCCCAAGAAGACAAAGAGATCGATGATACCGCTCTCGGAGATCCAGTGGGTCTGGGTGTTCTTTGGGGCACCGGAGGTCAGGCTCAGAGGGTTAGTACTGCCCTTGACCTTGGTGATATCAACCCACGTATCGGCGGCATTGAGCCACAAGAGACCGACGGACGAATCCTTTCGGTGAGCCTGCATGAAAGGGATGGAGCCGTAGAGGGTCATGGGGCTGTCAAGGATATACTCGAAGACGTCGGCGTTGTACATGCGATAGGGTTCTGCATAGTTGCCTTCGCCGCCTCGAGTCTCCTTGAGAGAAAGAGGTCCCGTATGCTCGGGAATACCATAGACGTGCTCGTATCCATGGAACGAGATGTCCAAGGCCACACTTTCGGGGCCACGTGGCTTGGTATCGGTATGTCCGTTAAACGTTTCGTCCCACCAAGTGCTTTCGTCCTCCTCGGTGTTTTCTTCTCCCTCTGGTCTCTCGACCTTTGGTCTCCAATGCTCAACATTGAGCAGGCCGCGTTCGTTGAGCTCGATGTGCGAGACACCGTCTCTCCGGAAATCAATCCTAAAGGGCGAGAGTCTGATGACGGCCTCAAAGTTGCCTTCGGGACCGTATTTGACATTGATTTGAGAGTCGTCCTGGTGGACAATCTCGGCTTTCAAAGCCGGCTCAAGGCCGCCAACAACGGACCAGTTCGCAGCCTCGTTGTAGCGTTCCTTTCTTGCGGCGCTGCCGTGCCTCAGCTCAATGTCCTTGTTTTGCCTCCTCTCTTCGTCAATGGTGAGGCGAGCAACACCCGATTCGAGGAATGAGATTGTGACTGGCAGTCGGACAGTGTCGCCGGCGGCATTGATCGTTTTGAGGATAACACCCTGAATCTTTCCGTCTTCCAACGAGGGAGATTCGAAGACAGCCTTGTAGGGAGACACCCAGGTCGAGCTCTGGGAAGCCGCAAGGTCGGCCAATGCACGGTTTCGGTTGCAGAAGCCGGCCTGGTGGCACTTTTTGAACTCGTGTTCCTTGACGGCCACTAGAAGGTTTCAATGTCAGCAAGATGCTTCCAAAGCCGCGATGTGTTCATGATGCATACAGGCAGGCCCGATCAGGCACAGAATGGCACCTAAAAGGCTGAAGAGTGCCGTCCACTTCCAGGACAGCCCCATCGTCGACCTCATGACGAGGGCGAGGTTGGGTAGGTAAACGAATCAACAAGCGTGGTGTAGGAGTCGCTGTTTAGATTGCAGGCAATGGCAAGCCACATGGGTTTCGGACAGATTCAGTAGTCCGCAGCCTCGCCCAGACAGCCCGCTGAGGCTATTTGATAATGCTGGTGATAGAATCCCTTCCAGAGGCGTATCCGACACCGATTGGAAAGGGAATCGTGGAGTGCGGTTGCAAGTGAGCTGTCCGTTTCGACCTCCTCGACAGCTCCCGATCGGGTTTGGCGCCCAAATTACTAGACACGTTCCCGCACCAGACCCGACCGCCAAGCTTGGAGGGGTCAGTCCCTCTAGGTGCATTTAATTCAACAATGCGATTTAATATCGCTTTATGCGCATTTTATCTGGGTAGCGGGTAGGAGTTCGAGATTGCTTTTGACACTGTACCATCACGTCTCTATCAGCCATCAACAACCCAATAGTATCTTGTCCTGGACTTGAGGCTTAACTTGGCTCATGCATTGGATGCAGTAAAGAGGTGCATCTTTACTATCTTGATGAATCCCCTATGATATGGCGGTCTCGGGGAGACAAGTCAGCAGTCACACGGATCCCATCGCTTCCTCGCAAAAGCTGCCACGCTCCGCACTGTACAGCCAGCCAGCTGTCACTCTCAAGGTTCCCAAGCCAAGCCAAAAGGCTCTCGCTTTGCACCCGAATCGACTCCGTCCACAGCGCCAGAGCCAGCAAATCATCATGCCTGAACCCCGCCACGAGGACCCCGCTTCAAGCCCAAAGTCCACTCAGGAGACGCCGCAGCGAAAGCAAAAGCAGCCCGGGCACCAGCAGAGCAACCCGCTGCTGAGGTGGACTCCGGTAACCCTCCCCCCACCAGTTTTCCTCGTCCCGCTACTACTACTACTTCTCGCCGCCTTTTACCTTCTTCTTCCTTCTTCTCCTCCTTCTCAGGTCCAACAAAGTTGTCAATCTCCTCAGCATCTTCCATCCGTTCAAGCATCTCATAACCCTCTTTCTCCAACCCCTCCAGAACCAGTCGCCATGGCTTCCACCGAGCAGACGTGAGATACACCCCGCCATCTTACCCCTCCATCGCCGGGATGGAATTTTTCGTCGCGGTAGTCTAACTCGCTCGATAGCTTCATTGCCATCAAGCCCGATGGTGTCCAGGTAAGCTTCACATGATATTTCTTGTTTCATTTTTCTAGAGCTCCAGTTCTGACTTTCCCTACAGCGTGGCCTGATCGGCCCCATCATCACCCGCTTCGAGAGCCGAGGGTAAGAGATTTCGACCGAACCCTCCATACGATGTCCAGACATTGACAAGGAGATAGCTTCAAGCTGGTTGCCATCAAGCTCACCACCCCCGGCAAGGACCACCTCGAGGCTCACTGTTCGTCACTCAATCCGGATCCAAGCTATGGCTGTACTCTTTTGCTGACCCCTTCTCTAGACGCCGACCTCAAGGGCAAGCCCTTCTTCAACGGCCTCATTGAGTGTAAGGATTCGGTCAATGCGCGAGTAGCACAGGCCCCAAGCTGACTTTTCTCCTTAGACATGAACTCTGGCCCCATCTGCGCCATGATCTGGGAGGGCCGTGATGCCGTCAAGACCGGCCGCAGTATGTTCCCCCGCCGAGATTACCCTCCAGATCGTTGTAGCTAATCCTCTCATTCAGCCATCCTCGGTGCCACCAACCCCCTTGCCTCCGCCCCTGGCACCATCCGTGGTGACTACGCCATCGACGTCGGCCGCAACGTCTGCCACGGCTCCGACTCTGTCGAGAACGCCAAGAAGGAGATTGCCCTCTGGTTCAAGGATGGCGAGGCTGTCAACTGGAAGTCTGCTCAGTTCGACTGGGTCTACGAGAAGGCTTAAGCGTTTCATTATGACGAAGCTCTGAAGCAGCTATGAAGCTGTACCAACTCGTACCTTTGTATAACTTGCGTCAGGCTAGACAAAATGAAATCTTAAAAGGCAAAAAGACCAAAACAAGCTTTGCTAAACTCGATTCCCTTCGCTTGCTTCTTATGTTTTCCGAGCCAGTGAAGGCTTGAATCTAATGAGTATCTTTGCGAACCACGGCGTAGCCCAGACACTGCCGATAATCCGAAGAGGCAGGAGAGCTTTCGTTATGGCATATGCCAAGGCGACCTCGACGAGGATCCCGTACTTTTGCTCTCCATTTTTCCACCGCTGCACAGCGTCCTCCACATGCGCGTCCTGGGCAGACGTGCCGCTGTCCTCCTGCCCAAAGCCAAACCAGCCCTTGCGCTTGAAGTACCTCTCGAACCTCTCGACTCCCGCCTGGACGTATTCGCCAAAGTGCTCCGTCGCATAAGATATCGGCAAGTAAGTGGTGTAGTGAAACAGGGCAAAGAGCCCGAGCAGAGGCACAATCGCCGTGATCTCGTGGAGAATCATGAACGAAACGACATGCGAAACAGGGGCGTCGCGGAGGCCGCTTGTGTACTTTCGTAGATACGGCAGGCGGTCGAGACGCGAGATGATGCTGCTGGCCTTTGTGGACTGGGGGCGGGCTGGCGGTCGCATGTGGAGCGCATGAGGGCGTGATCGCAGTGTCGGGCGCCAATTGAAGAAGATGCGGGAGGGAGGCATGGTGTCTGAGGGGGAGGAGGCCTGGGGTATGAACGGCAGATGCAGGCGTGGTGGAGGAGAATTATTTGGGTGCTGAAGCTCGTTATCGACGTGGGTTTCTGCGCTGACTAACCTCGTCGCTACCCAAGCTTGAGGTGGACAAAAACCATGTAAGCTGGTGTCCATCGTCCATCTGTGTCGATGTGCTACAGCGCTTCCAGGTGTCTCGGTCAGGGCTCTCTTCAGAATGAATGACGCTCGTCCATATTGAATTCAGTATAATGAAATACTTCTAACTCAATCTTTTCGCTATGATGGCCCAAGAAAACCGAGAACGCCTCCTTGTTTCGTTACTGAGTGTCCCGTCCAGCGGTATCAGCACCATGTCAAAGCACACCAAACCCATCAATTCCGAATGCTCCTGAACCTGTACCAAACCTTCGAAATCCAAACCCGAAAAGACATCAAACTCCAATATGATTTGTAGCCGTAATATTCATAGTGCTCATAACGTCATAATGGTAGGTCGACTGTTCAAAGTCTCTGCCACCTCAGTCAGTCTCATTTGACATCAAACCTAGCAGGCCACGCCTGACTTACCGCTCAACACATGCTTCAGGCAGTCATCATTCGAGAAGCGGAACATTGTCGTTGTACAAGTCGTGATTTTGACCAAGCTTCGGCTCTCCAGCAATTTTCTTATATGGTGCGCCTCTGTTGCTGATTCTGGTGTATAAGCTCGTGCTTTTCCCGCCGGCAGTCTTGATCCATTGAAAGCAAGCACTGAGCCTTTGCGCCATGTCGTTGCGTGTGATGGTGGTGTAAAATTCAGACTCGACGAAGATTGGAATCTCCGTGTGTATGATCTGAGCAATTGGGTGATTGTGATATCAGTCGCTTGTTTACCAAGTTGTAGGTTGACTGACGAACACTAGGATATAAATACAACGATCCCTACCAGCAGGAGGGAGTCATAAGGTAAGTATCAATTGTCAGGTACAAACAACGCAACAACAGCGTCAATGTGCATCAAAAGACACCCCTCGCATTCTTCACAGCCCCTGAAGAGGCCTGGTCGGGCTCTGCAGTTTGCCCCAATGTTTGCCCACCTCGGTCATACATGTCGAGCTTCAGTTTTGGTTCGCCATCCGAATCTGAAACGAGAAACATGCCGGGGCTCCCAGGCGCTTCTACACTGATTCGCCCTGCAAGTGCCGGTCGCATTGGCGGAGGCTTCTGGCCAATCAATGCTGCTGACGGTGCAGACCGCGACAAATGCCGTTCGATGATCATGAGCTCGCCTCGAGATGTTGAAACGCAAATCGCGCAATGTCTCTCTCTGAGCCTTCCTGCAGGTCGGAGAAATACGAGGGCGTAAGCTACCTATGCATCGTATTCGCAGGTACGGTGAGGACTCGGTAAGCTCAGGGATGTTACTCAAGGTATGCCACGGCGGCAAAGGACCACCGCTGCCGGTGACCTAGGCGCGCGGCATCGGAACAGCTGGCTACCTCATGACAGAGGAAGAGGAGGCAGTGTCCGCGCTTCATGTCAGGAGCCAAAATATACTCAGCCTTGTGTTGCCTCGAATGACGGGATCTCCCAGCATGCACCCACCCGCCCCGGAGGCCGCTTTAGTAGATGCCTCTTGTCGATGTCCAGGCCATGTGCCACCTTGTTGTTCTTCGAAGCGTTGAAGGCAACATTCTCGCCTGACGTTCTGTGGCCCCCGGGAACGGAGTGAATGTTGTTATACCTATGTAGTAAGATCGTAAAACATATTGAAGCCAATCTGCTTCGTCGACCAGGTCGATACGCAAAGCACAGACCGACTTTCAATATTCGCCACAACCGCATGGCCACTGTTCTCAAGCAAGCTCGACAAATGGCATGATGCATCTCTACGTACTACTATAGCAGTGGCAGTCCGCCTTTCAGAATTGGAAAGGGGAACTCCCTTATCGGTATGTTCTCAAAAGTCAGCCCTTGAATTGCCTACCGGTTCGATCCCGTGTTGCCCCCCAGGAAGCGTTGGCCATCCCATGTGTGATGGTACCTCCGTAACGTCTGTGATCGATCTAGTCGGCCTTTCAATTAGGTAGACATCTTCCAGCATCCTCTCGTGACATCAACATCATACCGTGAGCGGTGAAGTCTGCTCCAGCTGCCAGACCTGAGGTAGGTAATAGGTAGGTAGATAGGGTGTGTCTCTTTCCTTGTCTGGCAGCATCTTTGACCGCCTTCATTATGTAAAAACGCAATCTGGGAAGGCGTCACGATGCTGTCTCCGGCTCAGACAAGCACCTGCCAGCTCAACTTCAACGTCACCGGCACCGCCTAACCGCCTCAAGATACTCCTTCTCCTCACTCCAGTGCCTCTCTTGCCCCAATGGCTGGCGATGCTTCCTCAACAGCGTCCCAACAGGACGATCATGGCGGTCAAACAGAGTTTCTACGCTTGCGGCCTGTAGATGGTCATGAAGCCTCCATCTCTTGATCTCTCACCCTCGGCTTTTCTCTCTCTCTCTCTCTCTCTCTCTCTCTCTCTCCCCAAACCTCCCACTCGCTCTCTAGAAACCATACGCAGCAGATCTCCAGCCGATCCAGCCTCTTCAGATTGAACCTCCTCGTTCGTTGCCCGCTTTCACCTGTTGACGCGATTATCGAAAATGGCCATATTCAAGTTCGCTGCCGGCCTTGTCGGCGCCATTGGCCTTCTCAAAGTCGCCAATGCCCAGCAGTTTCGCAATGAGGACCTCATCCTCTGCGATTGCGGAATCGGAGACAACCCTGACCAGCCTGATTGGTCCACCTCTCGCCAGATGAACTGGTACCAGGACATCGTTTGGCCCAGTTCCGCCTACAAGTACCCTGACGCCCCCGATATGGCTGTCGAGATCCCTTTCAAAGAAGGCTGGTACCCCTGGGTTCCCTCTGGTGCAACTGCTACTATGCCTAACGGCGACGTCTGGACTGCGTACATCGAGGATGGTACTCCCGACGGCTTCAAGGCCGGAAGTGCCGTCACTACCAAAGACAGCGGTCAGATCCTCAACTGCTGGGCCTACCGTGGTCGACCCGTCAGTGCTGCCATCAACAAGACCGTCAATCACGATGCCATCTGCTGGAGTGCCTTTGTTTGCAACCGGGACAACTACCCGCCCCCTCGCCCTGAGGACATGGGCTCGCAGACTTCAACTCTCAGCACATCCCCTGCAGCCCCTTCTACTACCTTCTTCTCTCAGCCCCCGACCACAGTTACTTCTACCCCGAGCAAGGGTGGCCAACCTGTGCCAACCTCCCGACCCCATACTGGCCAGCTCGCTGTATATGCCACCGTCAGCCCTCGTTTCATCAATTGGCAAAGCACCTGGGAAGCATTTATCAATAACTTTGTTTGGGATCAGACTACTGGTAACTGCGTCGGCGGTCCTATCAAGGGACAGGGCTATACCATCAACGTTGAATGTGCGGGTGTCAAGGTTGACGAGGACACCCACATGACACTTTTGCTCATCAAGGCCCTCCGTGACGTCGGCCTCAAGAGTCTCTGGTTCAACCAGAACCCCGTCATCCCTGGAATCAACGGGACCGGGACCAACGTCACTGCCCCCAGCTGGGTGGTCATGCCGGAGGCTTTCACCGTCAGAGCCACAGATGCGTCGACTCGAAATGTCGTCGGCTATCTGTCATACAGCACCAAGTATGACGGGTTCCTCAGCGGCCCATGCTCGGCCTGCGAAACCGCCCGCTTCAATTCGGACTTTTTTGACCCCATCATCGCCGCGGTCCAGGGCAGTTACCCGGCGTACAACAACTTCACCATCGAAGCCCAGTGCAGCCCCTGGATGGCCTGCAACTAACAAGCATGCGCCGCTTGCCTTCATCTTCTTTTTGTAGCTTTCGGTATCTATATGTATCGACAAGTTAATGTGGTCTCACCTGCCGTCATTATCTATCCGTTGTTGAGGAGGATAAAGGCTCATCTTTACTCTACTTGCTCCATGCTATAGCTGTATTTATGCTGCTCAAATACAACCTCATTTTGTTCATTTCTGCTGTTTGTGCGGGCACTGACCGACATGTAACGCGATTACAGATGTGTGCTCTTTACCGCCCTCATGATTGTCTGTTTGTATGTGTCGTACTCTGTGAATAGTAGCCATGTGAAATTATGTCGCTCTAGGCGCTGATTCATGCATCTGAACCATCTGAATAGTAGTCGAACTGGCTGGGGACTTGAACTGGCTTGTCGCTGGGAGCATCAGGATCGGCCTCTACATCTAGCTCAGGTTTCGTTGACTCGTTGATAGGTGGAGGCCGGCTGCTTGTTATAGAGACATCGTTCCTCAAGACGGACGTCATCTGCCTCGCCCATTCCCAAGGCCTCTCGTGCCCACCTGGAAGACTGTTGAAGTACTCCCACCCCATAACCCCTCCGAAGCGCTCATGACGGCCCCGGAGCAAAGTCAGGACGGCGGAGAGAAATTCCCAGATCACAAAGCCACTGCCATTGGCCGGATTCGTCACCAGCCCGACGACGACCTTTTCGATGGGCCAGCCCTTGCGGATGATCATTTCGTACATGATGGGGTTGTTCATATCGCCCCAGCCACAGTAGAACTGAGCGTTGTACCACGCAATTTCGTGGCCGCGCATGACTTCCAAGGCTTCGTAGTCGAAGCCGCTGAGGTTGCTCCTGTGGTCGAGCAGGGCTGCGGCGACGGGGGCGAGGGTGATGAGGAAGCCCTTGCCGAAGTCGCTCCTCAGGCGATCAATGAGCTTGACGACGCCGCCGAGGGACATTTCCTCCTCGACGTCCAGGTCGAGGCCGTCGAGGCCGCGGGCGCGAATGACGTCGCGCAGAGGGCGATAGTAGCGCTCGAACTGCTCGTCGGAGGCGTCAAGGCGGGCGTAGGAGCCCTTTGCGGCGCCGCCGAGCATGGCGAGGACCTTGACGCCCGAGGCCTGCAGGATGCGCAGCTCGGCCCAGAGAGGGTCGAAGCGCGGGTGGTGAGGCGGGTGGTCGTTGAGGGTGATGTGGTGAGGGTCGTCGTTGAGGTGGATGGCGGCGAGGATGACGTGGGTCAGGGAGATGCCGGGCTGGGTGATGAGCGGGAGGAGGGAGATGTGCTTGCCGGCGGGGTCATGGTGGGTTTGGTAGTATGTGATGACTCGGGGGAGAGGGTTTGTTGCTTGTGGTGGTATTGGAGGCATTTGAGGAGGGGGAGCCTTGGGTTTTGAGGGAGCGATGGGTGAATGGAAGGGGGTTGCGAGATGGAGTTGAGAAGTGAGTATAGCTGAGATGGAGATGAAGTTGGTGGTGATTATGAGAGCTGCAGGTGGGGTGGCAGGACCCCGCTATGAATGGATGCTTCAAGTACATGAGACCGTACATATCACATGCATGTAGCTGACAAGGTCGCCTAGACGTTCAAAGGAAAGTTCTTAGAAAATGATGTATCGTCATGCATTATATAAAGATATCCCAAGTCTCTATGCCTATCTATTTCGCGACCAAGTTTGACCTCGAAAGTTCATCATACTCGATTTCCCGTCCATGGTATTACTTATTACTCAGACTCATCACGATATGACTGATCTTCCCTATATACTGGTAACCGCAAGACTGACATGCGAAATGGGAGAGAGTCTATTGTGTCGTCGCCCTGCCCCCCCAAATTCAAGCCTTATTCCGATTATTGTGTGCTTCATCATTGAGCGCCTCAGTCTCCCGGACTGTGCTGCCCAGGCATCTCCCAGGGTGCCATCCAGCAAAAAGGAGTACCGCCGCCGCTACAGGCGCAAACTCCAAACAAGCAAAGTAAATCTCGTTGGTCTGTATGGAACCATTCAAACCCTGAGCCGTCTCCGCAAGCCGAAAGACTGTTCGCAGATACACCAAGATCGTGGCGGCGGAGAAGACAAGCGCAAAAGCAGTGAGGCGACGCTCTTGAACAGCCCGTCTGGCACGCACCAAGAAACTTCCCGCGACGGCAATGAAGACGCCGATGGAGAAGACTTGGTAGGATAGACCGCCCAGGAGAATGTCGTTGGCAAACGTTGGGTCCTTGCGGTTGGATTCTTGGACGCCGATGAGGGCTGCGCCGGCGACCTGGGTGATTGTGGATATAACGTCTGACAGAATAAAGAACCATAGAATGAATTTGGGCGAGAGAAGAGAATACTTGGATCCCAGCCAAGAGATGAGGGCCGATAAGATGGTGTAGATTCCAGCAGCGAGGAAGACGGGCGCGGTGACGATGAAGAAGTAATTGATGATGAAGTAGTTCAAGTTGTAGGGATCCTTCTTCGCCGAGAGCGAGCGCGCAATGTACCCGACGATTTCAAAGGCGAGGCCGACGGAAAAGGGGATAAACCACCAGCTTCTGTAGCGGATGGTCTGACCGAGATGGATCGCTAGCATAAGAAAGAACCAGGCGGCTGCAAATACGGCGAGGGCAAAAGACGGCGTGTAGCCGTAGATGATGATGGGGACATCATCTTTGCCGTTGGGGTTTGGGAAGTTTGGGTCGATGTAGCCGCCAGCTGAGATTGTGGTATCAGCTCCCTGTCATATAGAGACAAATAATGGGATTGAGAAAGTGGAAGCGACTTACAAGGTCTTTCATTGTCACTCATCATGTAGCTGGACGAGTTTGGTGTTGCAACAGCTCAGGGGAGGCGTGATGGTAGCAACTGGTACGAAATTGTCTTCGACAACACAAATGCTATATTCTTTCTCCTCAGCACCACATGCTAGACATACTGCAAGTACAGAGAATGGCAATGCTGTTCAAGCCCAAAGCGTCATTGATTCAGGAGACGGAGCCATTTATATCTGCTTCAGCCACAAACCACCTTTGGTTAGCTTGCAAGCTGGACAAACAGCCGTCGACCAGGCATTGTTCCTGTAGCCGCAAGTTCAGATCCCTGCAGTAATACCTAGTAGTTGTGCGTTTCTACAACTACCTTACTAGGTCCCAGAAGCAGGAGACTGCAGATGCATCAATGACGGTGAATAGTTTGAGCTGCGCCATCGCAGAGTGTCATCCTGGCCTCGAGCGTACGTAATGAGCTGGGGGCTATCTGAACCCACAGTCGGGGGTGGCAGATCCAACATGTGCCGCGATCTAGCATCTGCGTATGCATGGCCTGGATCGCGGATTTTGGCCATCATCCGCGTTCAAGGCGCCTCTACGCCCAACCCAGTCTTGGCAGTGACAGATGGCTTGATAGCCAAAGCTATAATCGCTGAGAAAGAGCAATGCCAATACTGAATGAGTAATATTGAGAACTGAACTGTGATACTCAGAGCATCAGTGGACATAATGCCAACACTCGAGCATCAGGTCGGCGTCTATGACCGCATGCCGCTCCTACCTAGTGGAGCATCGCCGTCGGTAGTCGGCGCTCCACATCGCCGACAGGTGGTCTGAACATGCTTCAAAAGGCGGCGGCGTAGAATCAATTTCCGCTTGGGGCAATGCATGGCTGAGAGCTCGAGATTCTGGCTAAGCCTCAGTTCGAGGCTTTACGATAGGCAGGGAAGCTTCCAGTTCGTCGTGGTGGCTTCCAACAGATATGGCGAGCGCTAGGCCAGCTGGATTGTACTCGTACCTGGCAAAGAAAGAGTGCCCGATAGGTAAGAAGAAAACTTTGACTTTGATGATACAATTACCCCTATCAGCTGAGCTGGATTTTATGGAATCACATGTGCCCAATGGAAAGATTGTAGCGTATAGCAAGAGTTCAGATGTTGATAGTAGTTCGAGAGTAAGGTGCGTACCTAGTAGTACGCGTATGCAGCTTCAATAGCAGAGGAGTACTGTAGGTAAGGTACCTAGCAGAAGGGTCAGTGAGCAATGAGCGAGCTGCGAGAGCCAAGATTGGCCCCCACAGTATATGTACCTTAGGATTCCATTCCGAATTTTGCCGCGACTTTGCCGACTCAAGCTCACAACAACCTGCATGCTTCACTAAAAGCTCATGAGCTTCAAACGCCAAAAAACTCCTGGAACATCGCTACGGCGATGGCATCCAAGCGTTCTCTAGTGTCCCGAAACGGGCACCTCCGTCTTCTGACGGGGTCACAGCCTCCCGTTCTGGCATCAATATGCCCTTTCTGCTCCCTCTCACCAGCATCGCAAGCCAGGACCCGATCACGGCCAAATCTCAAGTCTCGACGATGGCAGTCGACCTCGGCAACTTCAGTGCGCGTCCCATCCAGCGCCCGAAATGAACTCGAACAAGCCCTTCTGGAGCTCGAGAAGAAAATCCCCGGCTTGATAAATCTCTCAAGGCTGCAATTGGCACTTCAGGGCCTGCGCCAGCCGCCGGGCCAGGAAGCCATAAGAGTCGCAGTCCTAGGAGTTTCCAACGGCTCGAGTGGTAGAGAAGCCGCAAGAAAGGTCCTCAAAGCGCTCATCGTGGATCCACTGGTTGACGAGCAGGAATGGGAGAAGAAGTTGGACGAGCACGACACCAGCAAGCCGTTGATTGTTCTGGTTGGATCCAGCCAAGGGAAAGTCACTCGCTTGGTGACATCCAAGAACTTGCCAGATGTGCTGGAAGTCTCCTCTGCGGAACTTAATGGGCTCAATCTGGAGCTTCTTCTGACTGGGGTGGAAGTGCCTGTCAATGGATCGGGCGTGGCCACTGTTCAAGCGCTTGAGGATGCGGTCCTGGCCCCGGCTATTGATGTGGCCTCTGCAGACGAGCATGGCGCCCCCGTACCAGCGCCTGTTCACCAAGCCCTCTTGGTGGCCGATGGGCTGACAGGAGCTGTCAGAATTGCTGGGTTGCCGATACTCGACAGCGGCGATGCCATCACTGCCGCTGTTGACCTCAAGGGGTTTTCAAGGGAGCAACTCGGGACCAACTTCACATTGATTGACACCTCGCTGGCGGAGGAGGCCGTCAAACTGTTTCGCCAAGGTCCCCAGAACGCCATGGAGTACGAGCATCGCTGGTCGACGAGCAACGTGGGCATGCTGGTTGCATGGCTCAAAGCCGGCCTAAAGGCCGCTGACGACGAAACGACTAAACCAGCTGTTCGAAAGCTCATTGCTTCCATCTTACAAGGCGCCCACTCCGCCATTGAGGCAGAGTCTACGAGCCATGAGTTGGCGCGCGAGTTGTCGGCTACCATGTCCAGCCCTGAACTGCGTGCCATGAACGAGATGCTCTCTGAATGGGCCCAGAGCGCGCACGCAGAGCTGCAGGAGCAGCTGGACTTGGCTTTCTCCGGCCGTCGCTGGAAGAAGTTGGGCTGGTGGAAGCTCTTTTGGCGCGTGGATGATGTTGCCATGCTGACAAACGAGATCTTGAGCCAGCGTTTCTTGCCCACTTCGGAACAAGAGCTCGTCTACCTTGCCGGACGTATTGCTCAACTTCAGGGCCAAGCTGGGCACTATTCTCAGCCCATTTCCTCTCGCGAGACAGGCTCCGATCGCCCTTCGGCTGGGTTTACCGAGAACGAACCAGTGATTCCGACGTCCCCTCGCTCACGTCTACCCAAGTGGCCAGGACACATTGCGTTTACGCGGCGGTATATCCAGAATGAGACTGTTCCTGCTCTTCAGTCACTGGCTCAACAACTGGTCGTCCAGTCTCTAGCCACATCATCCGTCACCTCATGTCTTGCAGCATTGCTCTACGTATCTTCGTTCTCATCGACGATATTCGAGGCCGGCGCTGTGGCAGCCCTCGGCATCGTGTACAGCCTCGGCCGAATGCAGAAGAAGTGGGAGACTGCTCGCGATTTCTGGGAAGGCGAGGTTCGCGAGGAAGGCCGCAAGGCCATTAGAGCGGCGGAGGAGAGCGCCGCCGGGGTCCTTGATGGAACTCAGCAGGACAAGAAGTTGGCTCAGAGACTCAAGGAGCTGGAAGATGCGAGTGAAGTGGTGGCCAAGGCGGAAGACGCGCTGGCTAGGCTGAAATAAAACGCTGCGGAAAATTGTACGAATACTGATGGTAACGGATCTTGTACGAGTATGGAAAAGGCGAACTGAGCCATATGCCACATGTATGTCTAGAAGATTGGCGCTAGATACAAAACTCAGGAGCATGAGCCTGGGTCAGTCGCGCCCATCCACGTAGCTTCAGGTTGTTATTCCTGACGGCCAGTCTGCCATGGTATCTTTGTCGCTTTCAACATCCGTCCACACAGCCTGATATTGCCCTGTTTCTTTTTCTTTCCCCTCTCACGTATCGAAAAGCACGTAAATCCTGTAAATCCTGAACGCCAAACCAATGTTCCCCCTTCAGCTGAACAACGCATAGTATTGCCCCTGCCACTCTTTCTCGTCGCCTCTTTGGAGAAAAAAAAGCCACCTCCAAGACGCGCGCGCCCCGTCCTTTACCGGCCGCGTCCACCGCTCGCACGGGCACGGCTCACCGTCGCACGACCTCTAGCCAAACCAACGCCTCTGCCTCGCACGTTGCGGCTACGGAACATGGGCGCGTTACGCAGCATGTCGGGAACGATGAAGAACCGCACGTGGGAGCCCCGGATGTAGACCTGGTCGAGATGGGAGACGCGGCCGTCGCGGGCGGTGACGGTGATGTCCTTGAGCTGGACGTTCATGTTGTCCTCGGCTGCGAGGTTGAGGATCAGTCAGTTTGAGGTTTCTCAACGCGCAGAATTTCAATGTTGCAAGAAGATTCTGAATTGAAGCTCGGGAGTGAAGGGGGAGAGGGCGAGGGGAGAGGTGTACCTTCGAGGAGCTTGCCGCGGTATGTTTGGCCCGACGTGATTTCGAGGGTGATGATGTGACCCTGTGCATATAGCGTGAGCTCTTCTATTCAATCTCACGAAACGAGACAGTGTGCAAGAATAAGGATCTGACGAACCTGTGCCTCATTGAGGAGCTTAATCGGGATGCCAATGGTGGAAGTCATTGTGGGAAATGTGACGGGGGGCGCAACTCTGGAGCTATGGATGGGATAGCTTGAAAAATGACCCTTACAGGAACCTCAAGCTTATGATGGCGGGCTGGTTGGTGTTGAAGGTCCGGCTGGAGGTTTGCCTTGCGGTGGCGGATTGTTTATCCGCTTTCCGGGCGCTGCGAGCTCTCGGTGAGGAGGTGCTAAAGTAGGTACGCTCCAGGTGATTACCGAAGAGGTGTGCTTCACCGAGGAAATTCCGCGTATAAGACTCCGTATCATTCAGATGCTACCCATGTACAAGTCGTGCACGACACCTTTTTTCGAAATTGCGGCAGATGTATTCCTTTATCCTGGAATACTTCCTATCAAGTCTATGTAAAAACAAAAATTACGCCGTGTCAGTTGGTGTCGCCGTAGCTGAGACCACCACTGTTGATGTTGATGTTGTTGTTGCCTGGGTATCACCCCCCTTCTTCTGCTTCTTGGATTTTCCTTCCAGCATCTTCCTCTTCTCCTCCTTGCGGGCCTGCTTGTCAAGGTTTCCAATCGTCTTCTTCTCGTTCCCGCATGGCCATTTCGCCATGGCCGCAGCCTCGGCTTCCTCATCCCACTCGCACGGCAGGATGGCAAAGACCAAATATGAAGTGTGCGTTTTGAGTTCGCTCTCCGGTCTGTGAACGAGCCGGCCCTGCATCCAAGGCTTCTCCATATCTTCCGCGGCTCCATTGGCTTTCGCAGGGTTCTCACGGCTGGGAGTCGAGTCCACATCCATCTCGCTGTCAACGCCATCCGCACCGGCCTGTAGCGCCTGCACTCTCTGAGTCTCCTTGTTCCTTTCAGCAAGACTTCGCAGCTTCGTGACAGCTTCCGCAACGTCGGCGGGGGAGGAGTTGTATCCCTTTTCAGTCGGATAATTTACTCCCACGCGCTCTCTTGATATGTTGATTTTCTGATTTGCAATCTCCACCATGTCCACATCCACCCAGCCTAGGGTCCTCAGCTCCGTGACAGTTCGCATGACTTGTTCTATGCAGGGTGAAAAAGTGCAGATGTACACGCTCTGCTTGGGATCCAGGGGCGACACCCAGCTGCCATCATCGTCATCGGACGCTTTGCCTCCCTTTTGGATTTTCCGCCTTGAAAGATGATGTAAAGCTTCCCAGGGAGCAGGCAGATCCAGAAACACGGCTGTTGCGTTTAGCGTCTCGCCGTTGACGTTGAAGCCGTCATTGTACACATTACGATGCGTCAGCGTAACGAGGTCATCGAGGCCGTGATGTCCAATCTCCACCTGCATTTTCTGGTATCGCGACTCGTTGAACTCGAAGCTGAAGACCTTGCCTCTTGTGTCGTCCGCGTCCCGTGGGTAACCGTTGTAGACCGCTCTGACGGAAGCGTGTGTGAAGCTTCCACTGCCAGCTCCAGCCTCAATGATTCTCGTTCCAGGCCTAGCCCGTATTCTGTGTAGGATGTAGCTGTAGTCGGGCGTGTACACGACTTGGGTTCTGTGAGGCAGACTGGTGGTCCACAGCTCCGGAGTCGGGCGCAGGACGTAGATGAAGCCGCTCGGTGCTGTCACAGCCTTCTTCACAGGCGCATTGGCAGCCGTTGAATCTTCGTCGTCGTCTTGGCTGGGTATCGGCGTGTCTTCGTCGGTGGCATCTCGTCTCCGTTTCTTGCCTCTTGAGCCTGTGTCGACATTCGACGCGCGCACCTGGGAGCCCCATGGCACATCGAGTAGTGTTGAGTGAGGATAGGATCCGAATCGCGTGTTTAATGTCGCTCCCTCGAGGTAGCCGTCGACTGCGCCAGTTGATTTTTCCAGAGTCAGCGGCAGGAAGTTGTCGCGCGATAAGCTGATAATGGCGAGCGTCCCGGCAGACGTCTTGTCGCCGGGCTCGAGGAATGGCGATGGCCGAGGCATGGTCAATCGTTTCTCTTGAATCCCAATCCAGCTCAATCAAGCAACTCCAGGCAGATGGGGGAAATGCGGCAAAGCAAACGCGGCCTGCCGACGAGACCTGCTTATTATCGGTATTATCACCAAGAGAAAAGTGAAGAGCATGAAAAAAAAATGCTTCCCCAGTCGGACTACGGTATTGGCTGGCGGTGATTTCCGCAGCGAACGGCGCCGTGCCCCGCCTCTATCTGGCCTCAACTGGTGGTCGGGTATTGTCGTTCCCGTCCCTTATTAGCGGCCGATTACAGGGAGGGGCAGGCCAGCTTCAGGGCATCAGGCACGCTAAAGGCAAAAATTGGCGGCATGGAGCCCAGATCATTGAGTTGCTTCCATCCATTCCTCGAGGCCAGGGAGGGGCACATCTGCAAGGATCTGGTGAGACTGAAAGAGTCACCCGCTGCTCGTCGTCAAAGGAAGCTTTGTGTGCGTGTGTGCGTGTGCGTGTGTTGTCTCAGTCGTGCTCTGACTCACCTTGTCGCGTCAGTGATGCGCCTTGATACAGTCTGTCCTCTCCAACCCTCGCTGCGAGCGCTCTGAATGCATCTCCTGCGCCTCGTCTCCCGAACCCGACCTCGACCCCAACTCCGATTCTGCGACGCCGCAGCAAAAAGCCACCTCTATCGACGATACTCGCTCTCGGCCATGGAGAACTTGAAGCTCCATAACTCGCTGAAGCCCGGCGCGCCGGTGCCGTTTGTCCCAATCAGGCCCGGAGAGGTGTCGTGGTACGCCTGCGGCCCGACTGTCTATGACAAGAGCCATCTGGGACATGCGCGCAACTATGTCTCGACGGACATCATCCGGCGCATTCTGCGTGACTACTTTGGCTTCAAGCTCAACTTTGTCATGAACATTACGGACATTGACGACAAGGTAGGGCCAATCGCCCGCGGCCGGGGTTCGAGCTGTGTCGGGCTGTCTGGAGGACTAACACCTCGCTAGATCATCATCAAGGCGCGAAGACAACGATTGCTCGAGATCGAGAAGAGCAAAAGCTACACCAAAGAAGAGCTCGTTAAGCTCACCCGCACCGCCTTCCAAGCTTATGCGGCCAGCAGCTTGCCATTGCTCGTCGAGGACGGAAACGACTTGGACGAGACGACGTACATTGCTCGACGAGACGCATCATACGGCAAAGTGCTCGCCGGGGGCACTTTGACGGGAGAGGGCAAGCCAGGCGATGCCGAGGCCAAGATCAAGATGCACATCAGCAACATGGATGCTGCAGCGGAGGCTCTCAAAGATGGCTCCATCTTCCCCGGCGCGGATGAGATATTCCTCCCTTACCTCGACTCGCTATACAAGGAAACTATCGACACCAGGGATCAGACCATGTTCACGGACCTGACTAAGAGCATGGAGGCTCTGTTCATGGCTGATATGGATGCGCTCAACGTCCTCAGGCCGGATCACATCACAAGGGTGACTGAGTACGTTCCCCAGATCGCCAAGTTTGTGGAGAGAATTGTGGAAAAGGGCTTTGCCTATGAGTCTGAGGGATCTGTCTATTTCGACATTGCTGCTTTCGAAAAGGCTGGCAACTCCTATGCGCGACTGCGACCCGAAAGCAAAAACGACAAGGCTCTCCAGGAGGAGGGCGAGGGTTCCCTGTCGAAGAACCTGGGAGGCAAGAAAGGCGCTGGTGACTTCGCCCTCTGGAAGAAGTCCAAGGCTGGAGAGCCTTTCTGGCCTAGTCCCTGGGGTGATGGAAGGCCGGGCTGGCACATTGAGTGCTCAGTGATGGCGTCCGATATCCTGGGCTCGCAGATGGATATTCACTCCGGAGGCATTGACCTCGCCTTCCCTCACCACGACAACGAGCTGGCCCAGAGCGAGGCTTACTTCTGCGAACACGGCAAGGGCGAGCATACTTGGGTGAATTACTTCCTTCACATGGGCCATCTCTCTATTTCCGGCTCCAAGATGTCCAAGTCGTTGAAGAACTTCCAGACTATCCAAGACGCATTGGCAACCAGCTATACACCGCGGAGCATGCGCATAGTGTTCTTGATGGGCAAATGGAACGATGGTGTCGAGATCTCACCAGACATGAGGGCCCAGGCTGACAACTGGGAGTCGACGATTAGCGTAAGTACAGACGACAGCAACAGGAAGTGCAATGAAACTGACGAGGCTGGGTACAGAACTTTTTCACCAACACCAAGTCATGGTTGGCTGAGGCAGGCATCGAAAGCGGCCTGAAGTCACTCGACATCAGCTCGGACAAGCCTGCCACAGGCCTCCTGGCCGAGCTCGAACAGGCCAAGAAAGACGTAGAGGCGGCGCTCACAAACTCGATTGATACCCCGCGAGCAATGCTTGTCATCCTGAAGCTGGTCAACACCACCAACAGCTATCTCAAAGACAACAAGGACACAAATCTCGCTGAGGTCGAGGCTATTGCTCGCTGGATCACCAAACTGGTCGGCATCTTTGGCCTTGACGCCAATGCCGAGCCTCCCTACGAAGGCCTTGGATGGGCATCCGTGATCTCCGAGAGCACAGACCCCGAGACCGCCGTCAAACCCTACGCTGCAGTCCTCGAGAAGGTCAAGTCGGACATTGCCGCCCTTTCGCTGTCCAACGAGGCCATCGCTGAGCTTCTTTCCAAAGACCCCACACCAGAGTTCCAGGCCATCGCTCAGGGAGGCTCTCGTGACATTGAGAAGCTGTCGCTGCCTTACTTGAGGGTGGTGTCTCAGATCCGTGACGAACTGCGTCGCACTGTCTCGTCATACGATCAACAGACCAAGAAGGCTATTTTGCAAATCACTGATCGAATCCGTGACCAAGACCTTACCAATCTCGGCGTTTACCTCGACGACCGGCCCGACAACCAACCATCGCTCATCAAGTTCGTACCGGCTGCGGAGCTCATCGCAGCTCGCGAGGAGAAGATTGCGCGAGAGGCCGAGAAGGCAAGGAAGAAGGAGGAGGCTAGACTTGCCAAGGAGAAGGCAGACCAAGAGGCTCGAGAAAAGGCAAAGGTTCCCCCAGAGGAGCTTTTCAAGAAGGATGAACGCTACAGCGCCTGGGACGAACAGGGCATTCCCACCAAGTTGAAGGATGGCAGCGATGTGCCCAAGAGTCAGCTCAAGACGCTCAAGAAGGCTTGGGAGAAGCAGAAGAAGATTCATGAGGATTTGAAAGCCAAGGGCGGTCTCTGATATGGCATGGTAGATAGCAGATAGACAAGATTAGCAGACATGGATGACGTTTGTTATGATTGCATCTGAGCTGGCTCGAGAGTGGCGTGGCAGAGGTGGCCCCCCAGATGGTCTCCCATGACTCGGTTATTGTGCAAAAGAAAAAGTGAGTCTATTGTTCCCAGCCTGCTAACATGCCAGCCAAACAACCGAACCTCTACAGCCGTGCCAGCCGATAGCTGCCATAGCATTGGCTGCACGTGGTGGCCGGCCTGAGGTCGAAGTGAATTGGGCGTTGATTCTCAGCTGTTGTCGACTGCCAGCCGGCCGCATAAAAAAACAAACAATGGGAATCTGGCTTCAGCATCAGTCATCCTCTCCGTCAACTCTTCATACACACGAGTTTCTGGACGTCTGTCGGCTGCAGAAGCCGGCTTCAACAAATCCTCCTATGATGAAGTTTGACAACATCTACGTCTCCTACAAGAAGGAGACCGGACGGCTGTTGTACTGGATGATACAGACCTCGAACGGTATCATCCAGGCACTGGGTCCTTCCAAGGACGGCTGTTCATTAGAAGTCAACCTCACTGGCCAGGCCCCCGTCGCCGACCTTGTCCTCATGGCGAAACTCATCGCCACACACCGCGTCAATGTTCCGTCCGAGATGCTCGCCTCCTTTCATTCTGTCATTGAGCTACGGACCATCTACTACTCCCAGTTTCAGGAACTTGCCTCCATCAGCCCGAGCAAGGAGCTCGAGGAAAACAACTCCAAGCACAAGCACTTCATCGACATCCTCACCCAAGCCTTTCAAATCTTGGGCGGCGAAGCGTGGCTAGCTGAACGAGACGAGAAAGCAGCAGAGGCTGGCGAAACGAAAGCCGACGCGGAAAGCTCTGCCACCGCCAACAGATTCTCGGTCCTGAATATCGACGCTGATAACTCTGAGAGTGACACTTCCCACCAAGGCGAGAACAACGGCGAGGCTGACGATGATGCCAGCAGTTTCGCAACTCCTCGACAGCAGCGAAAGAGGCAGCACGGCAAACGCAAAGGCAAGGGAAAGAAAGCCAAGGCCAGGAAGTCTGGTCGAGCAGATGACCAGCATCTTGGCGACGTACCGCTGGAGAGTTACCGCATCATCGAAGACGATGAGGTTCAGCACTACTACATGGCTGTGTTTTCGTTGGCCATGCACTGGATGGAGTTTCGCTCACTGCTCCAGGAATTCTGGCGAAAGGTGGCCTACCAGGGCCTCAATAGCGCGATGGTGGCCGCACTCGGGAACATCGCTGTGGCAATGGTCAAGCAATCCGAGGCCGTGATTTTTGGCGACTTCCCTGGCTATGAATCGCTTGATATGATGATACTGACTCTCACTGGCGTTGGCCCCGAGAAAGCAGCAAAGGAATGTCGGGTTACCAACAACTTGAATAATGTGCCAGGCTTCTTTGAAAGGGGGGGGTTGCCGGTGGACATTCGGGAAGCCTTCCTCATCAATGCATACGACGATCTTGTTGACTTCATCACCGACTTCCAGAAGACCAGAAGCGGCAAGCCGACTAAACGGATGCTCGCCCAGCTCAAAGGTTGGGATCCTTGCTTTGATCTCCAAAAGGCCACCACAGAGGAGAGACTGAAATGGAGACGCAGTTATACCATCAACTGGCTCTACGATCTTGTCAACGTGGTTGCGGCCGGAGCGCTCTATGGGCTGGCTGAAGACGAAAAGGGCCTTGTGTTGGAGGATGTGGACTGGGGAACCAATGGTCCGTTCCGCCTCGACAGAAGACTGTTTGGGCTCTTTGATTTCGCGGTGGAGGTGACGACGCTCGCCATGCAGAAGCCCGGCACTACCTTCAGCCACAAGATTTCACCCCATCTCGTATTTCACCTTCAGTGCATTGTTGATGCCTGGACGGTGTCTCGCGGGTGGGCCTTCAGCGGCCTCAGGGGCCATGTCCTGGGAAATCCAGCCCCTTACGGCGTGCTACGACATCATTTGGACATGTTCCTTGGCCAGGGGCGCTGGTCAACGAAAGGCTTTGGATTCTCCAGGGGCGTTGCCGCCCTCAAGTCGCTCTGGGCATCCTTTAGACACACTGGTGAGGCATACGAGGACGTCACGACGTGCATTGAGTTGTACGAAGAGCTCAGCAGGCAGTTTGACGAGGCCCTAGGAGTCTCCCAGGTTGCCCGAATGCCTGAAGTGACCCCCTCTCGATTCTCAGCCACAAACTACAACGGCCTCTGGGACTACTCTCCGTTCCTCTGCGGCGCCGGGCTGGCAGAGGCGCTTGAGCTTTCCTATCGGTGTGCCATGAGGCTATGGGATGAGTTGCGAGAGCTACTGCCGGTTGTCTATTTGCATGGCTGCATGGTAGCGTACAAACACCTTGAGTCTCCCCTGCCCCTATTTGGCCAGCTGAATACCATGTTTCACAAGAGCTACTTCTCAGCAGATGGAGGGCCAATCTACGATCTTTCAAATGGTTTTCCCTTGCACGGCTCCGAGCGAAAGACGCACAAGTATCGCTTCCAGGAACGACCAAGCCGTCGCGCGAACACGTCAGTCTCTACAATCGAGGATCAGCTCGATGCGTTCCCATTGCGGAACTACACGCACAAGTCGGAGCTTGTTGCCTACAAGAAGGCGGGATGGGATCCTGACCGAATCCCCGACAGCGACGTCCATTACACGTCGGCTCTGGGCTTGACTCGACTCAGCCAGATGTCGCGGCTTTACAACCCGGCAACATCTGGTTGGATGAATGCGGGCGCCGACCGGCTCAGGACTCAGTGGTCCAAGGTCGGCACAAAAGTGGGCGATATAGTTGACGACACGACCATGAAGAGCTTGAGGAAGCGGATGGACACTATGAACGGAGACATCGAGGAGATGACCCTTGTGCCAGATGCACTCAGCGAGCCGTTATCGTGGATCACCGATCCAAGCAAGATCGCGAACAAGGATCCGAAGATGACGCCGGAGATGATGCTGAACGTGGTCTGGAACGATCTCTATTCAGACATTTGCTGCGACCTGAAGCCTTACTCGAGCCTCAACTACTTGTGGATCACGGTAAACGTGCTGAAATTCTACGACAACCTTGAGGAGGAGGCCAAAGCCAACGGCAGTGCGGAGATTAAGGCCATGTTCGAAGAGACCATGGAGGACCTTTCTGCAGGAAGGGACAGGAGGGTCTTTGTGTCGACGTTTGCTATGCACGGCACGAATGAGGAGCTCACTAAGATTGTGGCAAGGACGTTCAAGAAGAATGATCCTGGCGTGAAGCATTTGCGGTACTTTGACGAGGAAACCGTAGAGGCAACGGAGCGTGGGCCGGCGCTGGGGTTTGAAGCGAGCCCGTGTTGCGTGATGTGAGGTGATGATTTTGAAGGAGCGACGATGAAACGGATCCTACTTTGGGATGGAAGTCGGGTTGGAATGGAAAGGTGAAGACTTCATGGACTCTGATACAATTGGAAGGTATTTTATCAAGATGATGGCATGATTTGGTAGAGGAGTGCACAAGTTGCTTGAAGCAAGACTATTGGGGTTTATTTTGAGAGACTGCATTCGAAAAGAGCATTTGCCTTTAAAGCAGACAGCAAGTAAAACATCCATTCTGTTGTTACCGTACAACCTCAGCATCATCACCTCCAGAAGCATAGACGATGTCAAGAGACTCACAACTTGTTTCGAGATCTGTAGAACATTATATCAGCATCAGAGCAGGAGAGGGGAGGTTGTGACAGATACATACGTGATTCGACGGGCACGGCAGAGGGTATTGGAAACACTCGTCGTATACGGCACACTCGCTATCCTGGCGATGCTGTATAGGATGTGCAACGACGACTCCAATGAGGAGCACAATGAGGGAAGCAGTGAACTTCATTTTGTTTTCCGTCGATGTCTGACCACTTTCAAGGTATGGGTCTTAAAGGTAGGAACAGTACTTACTGCGAGGCCAACCGACTGAATATCGTAGATGCATTCTTGGCAATATATATATCTCAACCCCAGAGAACGACAAAGACTGACATGCCACAGAGTATTGTCTGTGCCCAGCAGTTTCAGCCAAAATGGTTGCACATGCCCTACCTTATACCTCAGCCGCTTCGTATTCCCCCATCTACATCGTCTGAGACATGCGGCCTCCAGCTGTGTGGTAGCATTTCTCTCAATAGTTGCTGCTGCAGATACGAGAATCACTTTCTCTCTCTCTCTCTCTCTCTGTATGGCTGTATAGTAATCAAGTAATATATTTGTAGGTTTGGGAGAGATTTCCACATCCTTCATTGGATCTTGGTATGTGTAAGTGAACTGTAGGGATGGCATCGGGAATGTCAAGTGTATCCAATGCTTAGCCTCAATGAAAACCTCCATTTAGCCTGAGGCAGTGCCAGTTCACAGCAAAGCCCCTTCACAATCCCTTGTTCTCTTCAAGGCATTCGCATTTAGCCATCAAATTGCACTCGCCATAAGGTACCAACTCTTCTCTCTCCTGGCGAAAGTATATCTGTGGCGCAGAGGTTAAATCGACGCCACCAATTACCTCAACATATTTCCACGCTAAGCCACATCGTCTCTAATAATACAGTAAGGTAAGGCTTTCCACTTGTCCCGCGGCTTTCAATGCCGCCGCTTCGAACCCCAGCATCAACCTCCACTCTCTCAACAACAACATCATCATCATCACCATCAGCGTCCTCGTCAACATCCTATAGACATCTCCGCACAATACAGTCGAACGCAACCGAACAGCAAGGAAATCATCGTAATCTCCTCTCTTGCTCCTCAGCAACGACCAATCCTACATCCTCTTTTCCTCCTCTCCTCTCCCCACCTCCCCTCCTCCTCTCCTCTCTCCTCTCCTCTCTCCTCTCCATCACCCTCGCCTCCGAGCCTCACACAAAGATGGCCCAGTCAACCGCCCACCGCCGCCTCCTCCAAGAATACCGTGCCCTCACAAACAATCCCCCCGAGGGCATCACCGCCGGCCCCGTCTCGGAAGACGACCTCCTGCACTGGGAATGCCTCATCCAGGGCCCCGAGGGCACGCCTTTCGAGGGCGGCGTCTTCCCCGCTGAGCTCAAGTTCCCCAAGGACTATCCGCTGGCGCCCCCGACGATGAAGTTTCTCGCCGACGTCTTCCACCCAAACGGTAAATGTTACTCCTGTTCCCCGCTACCCATGAAATGTCGCCGAGTGTCATAAGATGTTGGAGAGAAGAAAGGCTAACGCAAAAGACAGTCTACCCCAGCGGCCTCGTCTGCATCTCCATCCTGCATCCCCCCGGCGACGACCCCAACCACTACGAGCACGCCTCCGAGCGCTGGTCCCCCATCCAGTCCGTCGAAAAGATCCTCATCTCCGTCATGAGCATGCTGGCCGAGCCCAACGACGAGAGCCCCGCCAACGTCGAGGCTGCCAAGATGTGGCGCGAGCGCCGCGACGAGTACGAGAAGACGGTTCGCGATGGTGTACTCCGAATGTTGGGCTTGTGAGGTCTTTTTTTTTTTAACTTGTGTTTGATACACCGAAATTTTTCTTCAAGATGCGCATATGGAATCACGAGGGCACATGATAGAGAGACATGGGATGTTTAATGCGACTTTGTCTGGACTAGATCTACAGGCAGGGGAGGCTTGTGACAAGATAAACCGGTTATGTACGTTTAATTTGGGGCTTTAGCACGGCGTACGGCGAAGTAAGGTAGTCCAAAGAGAAACAGAGGGGAAAATTGGATAACCACCAAAATCAATGTGTATCCATCATCAAACCATCGTCGTCATCATCGTCGATAAGAAATGCATCGACCACCTATACCGTTGCTCTTGTAATGCATAGGAATGCTGCCAAGGGAGGAAGAAGGTAGAAAAGGAAAAAAAATTCAGAGGCCATTGTCCGCCTTGAACTTATCCCAGCTCTCGTTGAGGGTGCTAAAGACCAATCCGGCAATGAGCCTCACCTCGGTACTCGCGTCTTGTGGAAGCTAGCAATCATGTAAGCATGTTTCTTTTCTTGCTGACAGTCTAGGGACTTTGCATCAATGGCATATAGCCTTACCTTGTCGGGATGCGTCTTTGCAATGGCCTTCATATACGAAATCTTGACCTTGTTCGCCATGACCAGCTCGTGCAGCCCAACCTTCTTCCACCCGCTGTTCTCCCACAGCACCTGGTCCATGCTGGCCAACAGAGCCCGCAGGTTCTCCCTCTTCCCGTCCCTCCACGCGGCCACTCTGGCATCGACTTTGTCCGCCAGCGCAAACTTCTCGTCGTCCTCTCTGGCAGCAGCTTGGTTGGCCTCGCGCAGCCTGGCAACCGCCTCAGAGTCCTTCTGCGGCGCCAGGCTAGAGGACGCCGACGGCCGAGGTCGAGGCTTCGCCGCAGGTTTCGGCGCAGCCTTGGGCTTGGGGTTGAGGGCCTCTTGGCAGCGCTGGCGACCCTTGACTGCGGTGGCTCCGCCGACGCCGCCCTCGACGCACAGCTTCCACACGGCGCCTGCCTCTGCCCACTTCTCCATTTGCTCCAGGGCCTCTGCTTTCCGGCTCAGCGCCTTGCCGTATAGCTCCTTCATGTCGCGGTTCTCGTCCTGCCCGGCTTCGTTTCTGACAGCCACAGTCTCTCCCTGGCCGTTCCCAGGCCCGATGATCTTGAGCGCCTCGTCGGCATCAGCAACAGCCTGCTTGGGCTCTCCGGTCTTCAGGGCGGTCAGAGCGCGGTTCGTGAGCAGAACAATCATCAGGGGATGCGTAGAAGGAACAGAAGCCAGAGACGACGAGTAGGACGAATGGGCTGCCGCGTAGTCGCCTCGCTTGAAATGCGCGGTTCCTTGAAGTCTATGCCTTGTGGATGCCTGCAATGCTTCGGGGCTGATGGGGGGTATCTGCCTGGTAGGTCTAGGCGTAACCTTGCGCGGAGGAGCAGGCGCTGGTTTTTGCTGAGGCCGACTTGGAGCAGCCGGTGTTGGTCTCTGAGTTGCCGATGGGGTCCGTTGTGATGCCGCCGGTGCCTGTGAGCCAAAGAGCAGATCCGGTTCAGGCTCGGTCCTCTTTGGTGGTTCCGGCGCTGGGCTCGCCTTCTTTCTCCTGCTGGCACTCACGTAGCTAGAGAAGCTGTCATCATCATCCGCCGTTAGCCGGCTAAGCCTTGCTCTCGCATCTGGGATCATGGGCGGCGGCGCTGTTTGCTGCTGCCACCGCGGAACAGGGCTGTTTCGACTTGGCGGTCCTGAAGAATGGGCAGGAGATGATGTCCGCGATATCTGAGGTCCAACTCTCGGGTCTACGGGATGACGACTGCTGCTGCTGCTGCTGCTCCGAGCTGGTTGAGGCCTATTGCCGGCTTCGAGCATGAGCGCCTCGTCGGTGACATTGGCGTCAGGTCTTGGGGGCGTTGGCTGCGCCCGCGCCAGTTGAGCATCTCGCATCCATTTCGGCTGGCTGGGGTCCGCTTCCTGCTGAAACTCGGCGACCGCTTGCTGCATCTTCTTTTGTCCAGTCTTCCAGAGTGTGTTTGCAGATTTGAACAGAGTGTTTCCCATGGCAGCCGCCGTTTTCGCAAAGTCAGTCTCGCCCCTGGCGGGGGACCGGCTGTCGCTTCGCTGGGTATGGCCACCTGCTGGAGCAGGGCTTCTACCTTGCGAACCGCGAGACTGCGAGGCCTCCTTGGACTTCCTGTGAGCCTCGTCTAGCAGCCAGTTGGCCGCTGCCTGAGCATTGAAGCCAGTACCGCTCTCGACAAGCCCTCGTCTAGCCTGTTCTGGTGTGAATCCATAGTCGACGAGTTGCGCAACAGCCTTGTCGAAGGGGTCCTTGTTCACTCTGGGCACTCGCTCAACGTTTCGCTCGACAGTTCGCTGCACGGGCTCGTCATCGTCGGAAGAAGAAGAGCTTGAGTCGTCTTCGATGGGCTTGCCTGGCTCGCTTCGGAATGATTCTTGCTTCGCTTGTTGCTCCCTTCTAACTTCATCCACGGGCCGTGCCAGATCCCCCAAAAAGTCGAAATCGTCTGCACTGGTTGCGGCGCCCTGGCCAGCTGTCGATGAGGCACTGGGCTTCACCTCGTGCAGTCCAAAGGGATCGTCATCTACGTCGAAAGCGCCGTCACCGTTCGATGTCGTTGCTGAGCCCCATGCTGAGGGGTCGGCCAAGTCGAGCCCCTTCTTGACTGGCGGGGGCGGGGGGTAGTGGCTGGCATTGTCGACCTTGGTGTCTCTGTTGAAGGCAGCGAATAGGTCGTCGTCATCGTTCGCTGCGCTCGTGGGCGCGACATGCTGCTGTTGAGGCGCCGGGCTGGGCGTGAAGCCTCGAGACCCTAGAGAGTCCCAATGCTGGCCGTTTCCAAACTGCGCCTCTGCGAGCTTCCGCCTCT